GAAACCACAAAGAAACCGGATATCTCTCCCTCTCAAATCAATCTGAAAAACCAAGACTTTAACCATTCCATTAACTTCCCATTTGTTATCGTTGCATGCTGTAGGCTTTTTCTCAATTACAGCCATTTATGGTTTCTGGAGTAATTACATTCAACTTGAGTTAGTTACCTGTAAGGTGTGTTCTGCCGTAAATTAATTTGCGAGTTTTCTGCCTTACTTCCTTTTCATTTGGTCGTAATGGACTGTACTTGTTCTCATGCAAGACAACCAGAGGGCTGAATGAATTTGGAAGCAGGAAACTGACCTCATAAGGGGAAAGAAGACTTCCAAGAGTTCAGAGCAGTTTCAATTAAAGCCAGGAGACACAATGGCTTGTGACAGATTATGTCAGTGCCGTTCAGTGGCATTGCGGCGAAGAGGTGAATGGAGAAACTGAAATCAAGTTCATCAGCTAACTGTCACGTACAAGATAATTCGACATACGGTGATTCATTTCTTTTATATTGAATGCCTGAGTGAAAGCACACCAGACTGAAATCTACTTGATAGAATCTGACATATCTGAATTAAAATCATCAGAAAAATTTCCTATTTTACAGATCTACCAAGAATTAAATCCAATTTCTATTTGTTGTGACCATAGTATAAAACATCAACTCCTCACGTAAAAGTATTGGCTTGTCCAAAGTCTTTTGAAAGTGATACAGGACGTTTAGCGTGAAATGACACAATAGTCACATATGATTACAGGTAACCAGAGAAAAGCAATTTATTGGTATGGCTTCCTGTCTTCTCTACTCCCAGTAATTTGTGTATTGCATGTCTGCTATATCTGTTACCTTCAGCATATTTAGCCGGCCCTTCATTTGCACTCCTCGTTTAGGCTAACAGCTTATTCAGCCTGTTTATGGATGGCCCCTCAGAGCTAAATTAATAGAGGAGGCTTTGGGGACCAGAGAGGAAAGTCATAAGCAAGACTGTAATGCTCATTTGCAATGTAGAGGCTAATTACCAATTTGCCACTCTCCAATCTTGTTTCATAATACGTTCCCGACTCAACTTCTTTTGTGTTTTTGTGCCTGCAAGCAATGTGTGACTTTTATACAACAGAGAGTGCTTTGCTACTGTCTTCTTTATAACTTCATGCGCTGGAGATATTGAGTGCTCGGATTTACCCCACACACAGGCTCCATGTCTTACACTCGCTCATGTGAGAGGGATTCAGCGATTGCCTTCAGCTTTGACAGCGTTCTCTTTGGTTGATTTCTTTTTTTTTTGGGGTTCATGGAAAAAATAAGCGGTTAGAGATGACAGAAGGCTTGCAAATGAACAATCTCAATTGGACATCTGTCATCTTCTACATTAGCAGCTCCACATTTTTCAGTCCTAAGACTCAAAAAGTGCTTGTTAAGCTCAAGTTGAATAAGGATTTTAAAAGAAAACAACACTCTACCTTCATTACTTGTTCATAAGACGGGTAAAAACATCAGTGTGTGTTAACAAAACTAAGGACCGAGCCATTATTTTTTTTTGTTTTGTAAATGAAAGCCTTAAAAGAGTTAAGAGTGTCTGGAGAAAGTTACTACTACTACTAAAATGCGTGTTAGCTGTAAACCTATGCGTTTTATACGAAGGATGGTGAAAAATGAAAATGCTTGAACAGCAATTTTTACAAAACCGTTGACCCAAATACACTCATGACAGTTCCCAACAGAAACAGGAAGCGTCGTATCCAAAAGACTTTGAACTGAAACATGCCAGCGAGCAAAATATCTGGCATCCCCGAATTGCACTGACACCATACCTCAACCGTATCGGCACCGACTCCCGTCTTTTCATCACCGGTGGAACAACCCCTAACTTCTCGCGCTGTTAATCTCTCGGCAAACCAACAAAGTCAGCAGATTATCGAGCTTTAGAGACTCAAGCATCAAAAATCCTGCAGCTATGAGTTGTGGTTGTGAGCGCTTGTATCTTATTAAGCAGACAAAACAATTATGTGTCATAATTTTTCCAAGCCACACCTTTTTGGATCTGAAAAGTTGGTCAACGTGCCAGGAGGATTTACAGAAAAGTGTTAAATATTGAGTACATAATGTTGTGTACTCTGATATCTCTGTGACAACAGCAAATCCCACCCAGGAGATTTTCCTTTTCCCCTTTTATGAATGAGCTGCTTGACTAGCAAAGCCAGTTGAGCATGGTGATTATACTAAATACAATGGGAACTTAGGGATGCACAGAGTAAATATTACATTCCTCTTAAGTATCCAGATTTTCTTTGAAACTGTGAAAGTTGAACAGCAACAAGAAATGACAGAAACATTTCGACTCCACAGATCTTCAGAGGTTTATCCTCGTGTTCTCTTTTTTTTCTCCTTGTGGAATAATTAGATGACATAATAAGAATAAGCGCAGTAAACCCGCACGAATGTGCAGGGTGGGGTTGAAACAATGGAAAAAGTGGTCCCAGCTCACACTTTTTTCATCTAGGAATGCTGTTTGTGAAAAAACAAAAACAAAAAAAGCCTTTGGATTGCTATTGCTATTCCACAATTCAAAGCCCAAATGACCGTTCAGGGCAAGTTGACAAATGTACCTACATGTTCCTTTGTCAGTGTGACTTCTTAAAAAAAATGGTGCCTCGTATGGGAAAGAATGTTCAAAACTAAATTGATTTTTTTTTTACATATCCACAAGGAGAATAACTGGTTGTTTGTGAATTATATAAAGCATAAAGCTTGTTGGTATGACTTTAATGATTTGGTAAATATTGTAATTAGGTTTGTGAGTTTTAGCTAAAAAAAGAATTATGTTGGAAGGATGGATACAAGAATTTATTTCCTTTTTTTTTTACAAACTTTGAAGATAATTTGAAATAAATATAATAGAATATGAATAGAAAGTTGAAAATCATAACTGTTCTCTTGATCTTTATAATAGAATAATTAGTACTGTTTTTGTTCGACCTGTGAGAACTGTAACTCTAAATGCTGATGTTTCCACAAAGTTTAGTTAAAAGTCCCCACTTTGCAAAAAAAAAAGGTTATGACCTATTTTTCTTTTTTTGTATATTTGGTTGGATTTTTAAAGAAACTTTTTTTTGCCCTCCTTAGACCACAAGTAGTCTAATTTCCCTCTCCAGCTCCATTCTAACTATCCACACAAAAACCAGTATTCTACTTTATATTCATATTGCACTGAATGAAAATCCACTGCGTATTGGGACGAGCTCCACAGCTAACCGGCAGATTAGAGTTCTGCCTCGACTGAAAACAGAAGATCCTCATTTTGACTTTTTATCAGAAGCTGTGTATAGTAAGGAGGAAAGATTAGAAAGTCACTGAATACTTTTTAACAAGGCATGACCGCTTGAGAAACGCTATCAGTAACTCAATGCTAGCTGCCCGCTGAAAATGAAGATAAACCCAAGCTCTAATATGTTTTAGCAGAATATAATAGCAACTAGTCATATCAGTGACAGAACGATTCATTTTAAAAGTAGACATAGATAGATTTTCTGTTCGTGACTGTGTGACATCATACCTGTGAATAATTCTTCAACCGAGCAAAAATTTCCATTGGCCTCAAAACAAGGTTATTATTTAGAGCAAAAAAGTGGAAATACAACAGAATAGCGGGGATGTAAATGCTGATATAAAAATCAAATTCAAGTGCAGGAATACAGCAAACAAAGAGAGATAGAGTTTTAGTTAATCCAACTTCTACATAGAAAGATATGTGCGTCCGTCTCTAGTGTGTTCATCAGTGCATACACACAGTAGTAAACCGAGTGGTGAATCATTAACTGTAGGAAATAGATCATTAAAAGTTCAAAAGAGATCTAGGTTAAACTCACAGAGTGAACATTATACCCTTTAAAAACTTAAAAGGCAAGGAGCAGAGGACACAGAGTCTATGAATAGTCCAATGAGCTCGCTACTGCCTTCAGGGGCACTGTTGCATGTCCACTGAAGACCAGCTGAATGGGGTTGGTCATTGGACATTTACATTTCAAACGCTTACCCAGATATTTAGACAGATTTGTGGGTTACCTAGAGACCTTATGGATTATAGTTCAACTTAGCATAGGCAATCAGCTGCTGCTACAGACAACAGTTTAACGGCGATAAACTATTTCCTGGTATGTTAGTCAGGATACACGTTGTGAGAAGTTACAATTCTTAGTCCTGAATCTCATTTAAACTTGGATATGATGTTTACTGGGCAAAATCTGACAAAATGTAGTCTGAAGACACTTTTGTCTGAAGAAAAAAATGAGAAAAATGGAACAAATAAAGCAGGAGATGTATTATTAAGACTTATAACTGAGGATTTTGAGTTTATTTTAATTCTTGTTTTTTACTATTTTTGAGTAACTATTAATACAAAGATGCCAAATTTAACACGGCATTCTAAAGGCAGTTGGGATTTGACATTTTACTGCCTCACTTGTCACTTTCTAAGCAGAAACAACCTCATAATGTCATTGCTTAACCTCACGGTAGCTCACTCTGCTTTTCTGCAAACAGAAGGCCTGAAACAGAGGGCTCAGTGTCAAGAATTCTTTTCAAATCAGCTAAATCACTGATGAATGTTGCTGCCGCTATATTTCATTTACTGTGAAGGCCGCCATTTTGGTTGATATTTGCCCATTTGAATGCTTGAGAGAAAAAGGAAAACAGAAATTGCCGTTTTTTTAGTATCTCAATGGCAACTATCAGTAAGCATTAATATCCCATTAATTTTGCCCTAATTTGTGTACTTTTTTTCCGTGAACAGTGTATCATCAGACTATCATCCATACCATATTCTGTTCATACTTTGAGCCGCTGACACATCACTGCCCGTGGCCTTTTGATCTTTAAAGAAAGATCACAGGATCTTAACCATCTCATGACATCTACCAATCTTAGAGTAAATGGCAAAAAAAAGCGAAAAGCAAATGCATTCATGGAATAAAGTTTGATTTCAATAATCCGGATTTCCTTGAGCAATTTATGGTTTGTATGCTCATCAACAGGGCGGACTCACTGCCCTTCAAAAAGCTCAACACAAAGCTTTGTCAGACGGAGTCAGTGGCATGCGAGACGATTCTTATTGGTAGGCAAAATGTTGCTCAAACACTTCTCCCTTGCTCTCGATTTCTTTGAAATCATGTCCTAATGATGACCCAAGGGCCGCTTTTAATCACTATTTGCGTTGCCCTTTTAGAAATTATTCCACTCCCCTGCACAGTTTTAACTGTAGAAGCATGAGATCCTGTGATTAACTCCCTTATAAACACAATCATTGTGAACCATGTCAGTTTTCTCTTCAAGAAATGACACGACCAAGGGAAATGGCGCAAAACTTTGGGGAACCTTCAATAAGCTTTTTCCTCATATCGTGTGGATAAAGTTTATGTCTGCTGCTCTGTTCCCAAGTTTGATGAAAGGGAAATAAAGGCCTTCACACGGAAGACATTTTTAAAAATGTCACTGCTTTCCACTTTTAATAATAATTTAATTATAATCTACAAACAACATGCTTGACAAGTCGATGCATACATTTTCTGACGGAGAAAAAAAAAATCAGTTTTGTACAGATGTAAACAACAATGTTATGGCCTGTCCTGATACACTGGGGTCTATTTACAGGTAGAAAGATATCTCATGTTGTTATCGGTGAAACTTTTAATGGCCTGAAAATGGCACAGCATCACAGCACTGAGCTCATAAAGAGCCCATGTCCAAAGTAAGAGATAACTATGAAATGAATTTTAAAATTTTAGCACAAAGTAAAGTGAGTATGATGTAAGACTTCCATGCTCGGTTCCAAGAAATGGGTTTCTGGTGGTGCAGAGCCCCATTCCCGTTTGAGTAATCTACATGTGAATAATAAAGCAGCCTTCAAGGTTTATGTATTTTTCCTTCATGGGCGATGTTATTAATAGCTTCATCTTTCTTTCCACCTTAAATACACGATGAAATATTTTGACAAGTCCATAGAAGGGGGGAGAGGGGCCAAGGCCAAATAAACATTTGTTTTAATCAATCATTCGACTGTGGAAAGAAAAAAAAAGGTAGCTGTGCACCCTTCCGGACTGTCTCCTTAGCTCTGACATCACCGTGAGTCAAGGAGTTGCCGCTCTAAGTCACATCTATATCTATTTAGGGAAAATCTTTACAGAGATAAATTATTTTTGAGCAATGGGGGGATGAATCTCTTGTGTTTTCTTTGACCTTGTGAACAAACAAACAAAAAGTGGAGCAATCGATGGCTGCCCTCTGAAGATGCCGCGATATTGTATTTTGGAATGAACAGCGGAAAGGGGGGAAAAAAGAGAAGAAGAAAAAAACCGTCAAGCCAGATGAACAGCTGTATTGAGATAAACCGTCACCCCATATGCTGATGGAAAAAAAAACAAAAAAAAAACAGTCTCTGCACATTATGGAGACTGAAGATGAAAAAAAAAGAAAATCGCTTAATCAACTAACATTGATATTACTTCTGGCAATTAGGAGCATGCTGGTAATGATATGAGTTTTCAGCTGTAAATAATTATGCTGCCTGCGGGCCATGCTTTAATTCTCGGCTATATCTATAAACAATAATCAAACCAACAGCAGCGGGCTAAAAGTTGGAGATTTGCGCTCGGCGGCGGCGGCGGTTTGGAGGGGCGGCTTATCGGAGCCCCGTGGTGATGCCAGCAGTCCGGGTCACCTTCAGGTGCTCCCTCCTCTGAGCAGGCGCACAACGAATCGCAAACCCCTTATCGATCGGCATTGGAAGCAGCAACGGGACGCAACACACACCATGCACATGCAGGTGCACAATGGGGTAATGCACATGGGAGAGAATCGCATTTTTCCGAAAGATATCTAATGTATCTTCTAGCTAGAAAAAGGGAAAATAAAAATGAATGAAATTATGAGTTGTGTTTTTGTAATTAGCTTCTCTCTCCAGTTGATTCTTGGATTCTTGGTGGTGGCCTTTCTGTGAGGAGTCTCTGTTAGCCTTCCCTATGTGTTGTACCAATGCTTTTGCACCTTTCTATACACTGTTCATAACTGTTATGTCTCACTTTAGATTTGGCTTTAATCTTTTTCTACTGAGGGGTACAAAATGGGGGTGGGGGGTGGTTAGTCTTGATGGCTTATTTTACCTCATTGTCAAACAGGAAGTGCCAATCTACTGATGTGTAGGAACGAAGATGAAGTGCGTAATTAAAGAAACATATGATAGCCAGCGCCGGGGCCCGAGATTAATTAGTTGCGTGTCAATACCCTCGTCAATATCCGATTAACTAATGACACATGGCCCAATGAAGGCTATTGATCTCCTCCCACTGTGCGGCGTTAATAGGTTGAAGGCGACACTATCAGAGAGCTGGCAGAAAAAACTGAGGAGGATTTTCGTAGCGTGCAGACAGTGGGGGGACCTAAACATGGCTAAACGTCCCTCCAGTCATACAGAACCAAATCACTTTCCTGTGAACCCATGGGATTCCATTATTGCTGTGACCACAACTTCACTTATACAGCTTTGCTAGATTTCTCATCTTTTTTAGTGATAATTAAAAATGACCCCAAAGGATCCCTCTCCCCAAAATGAGTTGAAAAAAAAAAAAAAAAGACTCAATCTAGATTAATGGTGGTGGAATCGCCAACATCATAAGTTAGCCCCTTTATGATAATGATTGTAATGATAATAATGAACACTTGGATGAAGGATGAACAATCCCCTGTCCTGGAGTTGAATCCCTATACAGGTTAATTAGGTAAGATAACATCATTAGCCACTCTCCTGCCTGCACAGAGAATTAATTGGATAAGATAGAGATTCCGGTCTCGGTTTAATCGCATAAACGATCGACGACAGCTTTGCCCAGAAAATTTGAGGTCCAAATTGGTGGGCATCTTATTTAGATTACATTTAACCAGCGTAATGAGCAAAAACCATCTCAGTGGCTTGCAGTACGTGTGCTGAACCGACATCATCGGAGGCAATGAATGGATTAAAATGTGCATTATTGCCGTGTCGTTGTGCCTTATTGATTCGTGATTGTTTCCAGCTTTGTTTGATACTCAAAGGGGAGATTTTAACACGGGTCACCCGAGCGAACGGAAACAGGACAGGGGTGATGACAGACCTCAGATAAGAACGGCACGTTGGACTGGGCGGTCGGAAAACAAATGAGGTCCATTCATTGCTGATGCATATGAGCAATCTCTCTTCCTCAGTTGAAAAGGCCACCAATGGCCTGATGGCTAGCAGTCATAAATAAGGCACCGTCTGACTGTTTGTTCTGAGGGAAACATTAGCCGGAGCTTATGATCTGTTTCAAGGGGACATTAGTATTAATATGCCTCATGCCCAACAAAAATGGAGCGATCCGCTGGGCATTCTCTACCTTATCCTTCACGGCATCTGTAAAGCTAGCTCGGCTGTCTGTTGCAGAGAAATATGTTTCCGTGTAGTTCCTTCTTAATAATGCATGCTGTTACTTTTGTGTGAACTGTCATACGATACATAATAGATGCTAACAAAGCAGTGTGAGTGCTCTCACTTCAGTTGGGGAAGTTCATTGTAATCTAGACCATGAGATAATGAAGTGGCTTTACTTGTAATATACGTGTTGTGCTTGAACAGTTAAGTCAAGAAGGGTCATGTCATTTTCCTTATCAATAATTTATCACCATCGAGTACTTGGAAACACAAACAGTAATACCATCTGGTAGATGAAACCATCACGCGGATGGACCTTTATCCTGGCTATTACGATTTTGGGGTTGTACATTATGTCCAATTTGTTGTTAGAGAGTGAAATAAAAACACATTTTCAACTACAAGCACTTCATTTATTAAATCATTTATTCTGAGGACTGTAGTTGTGTGTCCGTCAGTGAGAGTGAACATTGAGGTGGGTCATCTGACACCAGGTGCGTAGCTGGATACTGCGTCATTATCCCCATGACGACTGAGGGGTAGCTGACCACGGAGAGGGAGAAGCTGAGCTCTGTCAGGTAAAATTCTTCCATTTTAAGCAAAGGTAACATGCATGCAAAAAACTGTTGTTTGTCTCAGTCTTTTTGCAATACATTAGGGTTATCCATTTGGATCAAAGTTCTCAAAATGTATCTAAGAATATGGCAAGTGGATAAAGCCATGGCTCAAATGCAAAAAGATGTGCAGTTTGGAGTGCAAAGAATACATTTTGATTAAATGCGTTTACAGAATCGGCTATACAGAGTGTACAGGACAAAAGTGTACAGGAAGGATAGACTTTACTGTTTTCTGATCTTCCGGTCAGCTGTGCGAACTCTTTCTCTCCGGGGACATTGGCTGTCATCAAACAATAAGAAAAGGCCTCTGTCCATAAACCAATAAAATAGTCTTTGGTGCACGATGCCAGGTCCCTTTGCGACTATTGAATTACATCCCTGATCTGTGTTCATGCAAAAGAAAAGGAATGTGAGGCAAGGATTTCAGGTCCCACTATGCCATAGCAAATGGGGGAAGTGGGTTGTTTGGTGCAACACAGATCCCACTGTCATTCTGAATTAAGGCTTGATTGAGTTTAGCTCACTGGATGACAGAGGAAATGGTCATTCTCAGGGCAAAAGAGGGACGTGGAAAAAGCGACTAAAGATACCATTTTTCATGTTTACTCAACATACTACATGCCTTCTGTTTTAAAATTAAAATTAATGTATTTCTTCTCTGTTGGGCTGTCATTTTTTGTGAAATTCAATGATAATGAATATCAACTTCCTTATTTCCCATGCACTTTGTGTAATTCATGCAAAGCATATTGCCAAAAAAGGTTGTCGGAGCCAGACTGAAAAACGCGTTAATTTGGACTGCATGGAAGGAAGGTCTCAGAGAATAAATAAATAGGACAAGACGTGTCTGAAAGCGAAGACGTTTCTGCTGAAAACATTCAAAACAGCAATTAACTGACAGCGGGGTCGTCCTCTTAAACTCTGACTACAGCTGTTTATTCGGGTCACGTTGCTGGGATGAAATGTTGCGAGATTTCGGGGTGCCTGGGTCGAAACCCCCTCACACGAGCGGGAAACCCTGTGTAGATAAATTAGCAGAAAGCAGTCGGTGCTAGCTGATGTCAGCAGCATGGACCTGATACCCAAACACACCAGTTGGCTAATGCATGTGCGTCTCCAATGTTGGCAACCATTTTTTTTTTTTAGAGAGTCAGACTTTGGCGGGGAGAAGTGCACTTTTAACAACTAGCGGACTTTTTACAGCCCGTGTGAAACACACACGCACACGCAAGCATACACGAGCACCCAGACCTCTTTAAACTTCCCAGAAAAATAGTTAAGTAAATTAAAAACAGGAATGTTTATAGGTCGTGTTCAGTAGAGCACACATGTTAAAGGAAATGCGACAAAGTGCTTCTTTTTCATGAAACCTTTCTTTTAGTGATCAAAATACTCATAGCTGGGAGGATATGTTTAAAAAAAATGTTGTTGTATTTTTCTTCTTTTTGTGCTGTGATAAGGTGCGTGGATATCCTGTGGTCTTTGCCCTGTTAAGCGAACGGACCGCACACTGGCTCCGCTTTCACTGAGTTATTACGTCGGGTGTAATTTGAAACAATTACAAAAACACTGGCCCACTTGTTACAACACTCATTTTCCCCTCACATACACAAACCACAGATTCAATAGCTTTACATGTTTTTCAATCACACCCAGTGGAGCAGTGTTCAGTGTGAAAAAGTGTAGCATTTCATCCTAGCTCGCATGGTATGGGATAATCTTTCACATTTTGCCCGGGGTTTGTTTTGCGATTTCAGCAGAAACTTGTGCAAGCCATGTGAATTACCATAGAAAAATATGATAAAAAACACCAAATACTGTTGTATCCGATGTAAATGAATAAACTATTTGAATAATCTTGGCAAATAATTTGTTATGAGTGATAATAGATGTTTGCTTGTTGTCCTTTAGTCTCGCAGATGCAAAGCAGAGACAACAGTTTCAAGCATGCAAACAGGGGAGATAAACCACAGCCTGGAAAGAAGTATTTTAAACTTTTAAAACAGCTTACTGCCAGTGAATTATACCAGCAAATTATAGAAGCACATTTAAAGCTGTGGACGGTGTCAATCATTCTCCTGCTGTTTAAGATTGCATTATTTGTTTTGACATAATTCATCAGAATTTCTCTATCATTCTTCCTTCTGCAGGCTCAAATTTCAGGGGTCAGCCAGTGGACGGTCTTCTCGCGGTTCGCGGAGATGGACACCTTTGACAGAGTGAGTCCGGTTTCGCTTCTGCTCATCCTAACAAGTGTAGCTGCGAACGAGGAGGAGGTCAGGCCCCGCACCTCCGTCTCTCCCTCTCTCTGAAGGTGCTGCTGCGGCCTGACCGTTGACATTTAGCATTCCTCCGCGCCGCCTCTGGCTTCTCAATAGGGGATTGAGGGGTGCAAGAGGGCACCGGCTGGTTCTCAAGGGGTAAAAACAAAAAGGCTCTTGAAAATCCCGAGGAGTTCCCATGATCCTAGGAAAGACCTTTATCCGACCTGTGTTAGACTTTCATTCGGTGGAATCGGGACGCACAAAAAAAGTGTGGCCGACTTAGCTTGCCTCTCGCCCCGGATTTCTGACAGAGCTTTGCAGTGTTTCGCAGAAATTTTGGCAACGATAAGAATTTTGCAGAGGCCTGGCAGTTTGTGGTTCTGTGACCGTTCGGCTGACATTTCTAAGTGGCTGCGAAAGCTAGCGGTGACATTTAATGGTGGAAAGTTTTCAAAGTCATTTTCCAAGGTTTTTTTCCAGCAACATACATAATCTGCTAGCATCAAAGGAGCACACATGCATAAATAATTGACTAATTCACTTAAAGGGGCCAGCGTAGATTAATTAAGCTTGAATACTAATTATGTTTTCTGTCTACACCAAACTGACGCGGTTGTTGTTTAGAAGAAAACTGTTTGGTGGGTTGCAATTACCGCGCGCGTATAAGGGCGCTCTATAAATTAAGACGCTTTCACATTTTAAGGGTAGAACTGGCTTTGTAGGGGCTTTGAAACAAAATGCTAACCTTATCTTTTGTCATGTAAATCACGACGCTTTGTAGCTGTTTTCATTATTCTTATGACATTTCATTGATACCGTTTTTGTTTTTTTGTTTGTGGTGTTGATAGATAAAGAAAGATTTCACAAACATGAAAACATAACCAGCTTTCATGCCTTTATTGATTTGGCAAGGCGTTCAAATCCTTTTCATATCTTCCTGTTGTTTTCTATTAACATAAATAAATGTGTGATTGCAAATATTTATTACCTCCTTACTCAGATATATATTTCCATGCAAGCAGATTGTTTGTTTATGAGTCCATATGCACTCAAAGTTTTTATTTTTGAGCAAAGACACTCAAAGAGGAGACAAAACATGTGCAGAATCTCATTTTAAAACTCTTGTCACTTCCAGAGACAGCCTTGTCGTGCCCGGCTCACGGGGTGATTGTCTGGAAATGCTAGCTCTGAGTGTTTGAGCGAGGATGAGGATTTTGCTGCAGACACAGGGACAGAGCAAGACAGCTCAAAGCTGGGGCCTTGTTTACAGCTGTGTGGGGGAAAAAAAAAAGAAAAAAAAAAAGAAAAACAGGCAGACGTAAATGAGGGTTGACGGTTTCATGAAGCACAATTGCTTGATGGCAGATTCAATGTGACTGGGCTGAACTGGGCGATGATCCGTACAGTATGCAAAATTCACTTTCTAGCTGGTCTGTGCCCACCAGCCCCTAGCAGCGAGCGGTCTTCCCCAAGCCCTTCTAGCTATGCCTTTGAACGCAACAAGAACTGAACAAAGCGTCGTTGTGCTCGATTCCTTTTGACAACAATCACATTAAAGAAGAAAGAACGGAAAAACAAGTCTTGGATTTCTTTTGTCACCACTTATAAGTGTTTTTTTTTCTCTCTCGTTGACTGCAAAGTAGGCGTTCTGTGTGCTTCGCAGTGAAATGTGGACGAGGGAGTGGATTTAGGAAGGCATCTAGATGTCTTCACGTGATATGGGAGCAAACTAAAGGGGGGGGGCGTGGTGTTGTGCGGCTGTGGATATGCGTCTTTTGCAAATGTTATGACTGACCCATATTTCTTGGCGAGCGATTACAGCCCCGGCGCCATTAATCTAGCATGTTTGCGTGCAGTGTTATGTGAAAATTACATGAATACTACACCTGTGACAAGCAAATTAACACCGCCACTGCAACAGCTCCGGTGTAACCAAGAGCCATTTTTTGCCTCCAAAACATCCAGTGGACTTTATGAACCTCCATGACACTTTTTCTTTCCCCCGAGGATTTAAATTGTTCCTATCGTTTCAGAGGCTCGACATCTGCATGCTGTATCCGCTTATGACACTTCAAACAGTTGCAGCCACCCAGATATGGTACGGACCCAGGATGCTGTCAGTGTCAGTGGGGTCTAGAGAGCAAGATGAGAACCATGCATTCTCTTCGCTTTCAAGACAGAGAGGCTTGTTTGGTGGTATGCGGACGAGATTGGTAGTGACAGTAACCAGGAGCACAAAGCCCGAGGTGCACGTACTGTACTCCTTCTGTATTCTCTCCTTTGGATGAATTTTACTGACACAAATGCATTCGCAGCAAATCGGATGACTTATTGACACACATGACGCAACCCACGGAGACAGAAATTGAGCAAGGGAGAAAACAAATGAGCTTAACTCGGAAGAAAAAGAAAACAAAGAAGAAAAGTGACTGCTGACGTTGCACTTTAGGAGCTGTATTGGGCAGATGTACGAAATAATGTTCTGTGACATTCCACATACTTCTGAGCAGCAAGTGGCGTGATGGACCAGTGGTTCTCTCTTACAGTTATAGATGCGTTTTTTCATTTTAAACACGTCTTTCCAAAGTACCTGTGGACAATAGCTGAATGAAGTGATCATTTTAAAATGACAACAGCATAATTGAACAGACAAACGAATCCCAGCACAGACCTTATTAGCACGGTACGACTTGCTAAACAGCCGAGGAACACTTTTGGCATCATCAAAGATGGAGTGTACTGTTAAGGCATATTAGTTTAAATATAGTCATGTAGTTATGAGTTTCCAGCATAATGACTTTGCCTTATAGATTATTTAAATGGTTGATTTGGTTTACAACACAATACTGTTTAAGCATGGTGTGGTAGTGCAAAGTAAATTGTTGTTTTGTTATGTTTTTAATTAGTGAAATTGCCTTATTCATTTTCCAATAATTATTGCGCTGAATTTCTGTATTTGACTAAGTACGCAAAGAATACAATCTGTAAAGTTGTGTTTGTCAAGAGAAGATGAACAAGAAATGGGGAAAAAAGAGGGGGAGAGAAACCATGCAAATACTGCCAAGGCCAAATTTGTCTCTCATTTTTGGTGCTACACAGTATGTACAAGTCACAGAAAATGATTGGTACCCAGTCGAAAAGAAAATGGTTTTTAAATAAGTTACAATTAGATAAGCATTAATCTCAGTGGTATAAATGAATGTCTTGCTTTAGGGCTTGTTGAATGTAAAAACAGATTTACAAAAACTCCCCTTACCAGATTGGTCTGGAAGTAGTCTTCTGCTATTTTAATTGCTCTGTCATTTAGAGCTGAAATAAGCCCCCCCACCCACCAAACACTCTGCCCCTTGATTTTGTCTTTGAAATTAAATATAGTATACAAATACATGCTGTTCATGGGCATGAGCACAGTTCATCACTGAAATCTGCATAAAATGATGCTTGAAAAGCTCCATACGCTTTGAGCAATAGAGCTGTTTTTTATATTTTAAATAGTGCATCCTTATGTAAACATATCAATAACAAAAACAACTAGTTATGCCTTTTACCTCAGCGTTTGTATTGTTCTGCTTGTCTGCAGAAATAAGAGAAATGTGGGAGTGCAGTCTGTTCCATATAGTCTTGATTTCAAAGAAACCCATACTTACTCATTATATCCTTTCCTCCTTTCCTTTCTATTTCCTGTCAGTAAAGACCACCTACAACACCAGTCAAAAGAGTGATCACTTTTCATGTTTACATAGCTTTTGCAGATGTGCTGCATTGAATTCATATTCTATTTGTATAAATCTTCAAACGTGAAGCCTGTATTGAAAATCCCCAAACTTGTTGGAGTAGAAGAGACAAGATGCTGGGTCTTTTAAAAATCTTTTTAAATACCCTCCTTATGTCTTTTTCAACCCTTTGTAAGTTAAATTCATGTGAATGGAAATAAGAAAAAATGTACCTTCCACACTTAGTCTGTTTACTCTCATGAAGCTTTGGTAAAAAAAAAAAAAAAAGGACATTTTCCAGGACATAGTGTTGTTCCCTGTTCATTTTAGAAACAAGGAGGAAGTATTTTAATGTGACCTTCATTACATATTCATGTCAACTTTTCTTATCTATTTATGATTAAATTCTTTTCCACTCCTGTTGTTCAATTAGTGCTTGACCCCTTTAGCGGCGATGTAAATTAAATGACATTTCAGTGTCGTCCCATATTTAAAATACTGCGTTAGTTGCGGATCATAAATGATGATCTTCATTCTGCAGCTAATTTATTCATTTAACAATTTCCCTCCAGAAGTTACAGCAGAAGGCTCTGCAGCAACCTAAGCAGAAGAAATCCAACTCGGCTGAATTTCTGATGGGTGAGTCCTGCTTGATGAGTTATTGCTCATAATTTGTGTAAGGATTAATTAACTAATTACAGACAAATGGCTTTGGGCTAAATTTTGCTCTTGCTTGTCAGGGCGCAATTTGTAATTATTTTAATCATTTCTTCTTCTCCTCTTTTTGTCTTCCTCCTTCTCCTGCAAGATTTTGATTTAATTTTAACCTAATTGTGGTTTTGTATCATTTGAGGAGAATGCGCTTGAGCACTTTAAGGCAGAGAAATCACACACAGAATTTTCTTGTTAATGAATATGTTTGTTTTTCTTTTATGACTCATTTGGACCGAGCTGCTGTACAGGCCTACATGCCACTGTTTTGTTTTGTTTTTTCTTTAATATTTTTGCTTGTTTTTTGTCAGGGAGAGACGAGAACGCTACTGTAGTGGGCATAGAAAATCCAGCCTTCGATGGAGGAGGAAGCTCTGAGCTTTCCATTCCTCCGAGTTGGCCGGGGAGAAAAATGCGAGGTGACAGGCCAGATAGCACCCTTGCAGCTCACCGGAAAAAAATGGAGCTGCGAGCCCCTGCCAAAGAAAGAGGTGAAGCTTCATTCTTCATTAGCCTCAAATCTGTTGACAGTAGATATGTTCCTGATCTAACCTTTTTCTCTCGCTTCCTATTTCTTACTCTCTTGCTCTCTCTCCATTTGGGGGGGGGGCCCTTGGTCCTGGCATTCCTAAGCAAGCGTGTCCAAACATGCAACCCTCTTATAACTTCTTTCCTCCGCCGGAGAATGCTACAGTAGTGGGTGTTCTATCTCTATCTAGAAGTACCCTCGACACAATCAGCCTTGACTCCCACTCTCGGCTACATGCCTTGTGGTGGGCAGGAGTCATAGGAGAGTGCATTTACATATGCTACTATGCTACCAAGCCGATCCGCTGTCTGTGCGGTGTACTCACAACACCCCCGAAAACACGGCTCAAGGCCAATCAGGCATAGGAATATACCCCCTTATAATTCAGTATGTCAGGGAGAACTCTTGAGGAATGGGATGGCAAATTAGGATGTGCTCAAGGTTGTGAGCATGCCAGCTTTTTCTCAGAGATGAGTCACAGTTTTGATTCTCGATTTAATGTAGTGTATTTTCGCTTTTACCCTGAATCATTTGTATCTATTATCGCTATTGTCATGTATTGCGTTGCGTGTCAGGAGTAGAATTACAACTGTCTGAAGGTCAGCCATCCTTTGAGTTACTTTATGAAAGTGTCAGTCTCGCTCTTTGTTTTCAGCCGTATTTTCAAATGTTTGGTGCAGAATTACAGATATGTAGTGTCCTGAAAAAAACAGCTAATGGATAACTATTCACTTTTTCTTTATTAGCAGCATCCCCGTAGTGAGATCCATTAAACAAATAGAGACTGATACTGACATATACGTGGAGTATAGCAGGAAAAATCGAAAATTACCACCCTTTCTAATAGGAAACTTCCCATCTTATGTCCACACCTTAACTACCAATAAATGAGGCATTAATGTTTGTTCACAGTCCATTTCAAAGATGTCATACTGAGCAGCGTGGAGTTTAGTTTTAGTTTTGTTGTGGATTTATGATCCTTTCCATGAGAAACAAAAAGAAAGAAAAGAGTATTTGCATGAAACAGCTAAACAGCTATATATGCTGTGCTATATATATATATACACTGTGATATATATATATATGGGATTATGGGAGATGTAATGTTGGAAGTAATCCTATGCTGGTTTGCTCATTAAACAAAATATTAAATTGTCATGCAGCTATAGTAAATGTATTAATAATTATGATTTAAGATACCTTTACAAAGCCTAAATGATATTAGGATACTAATGAAAAAAATCATATCACTAATTAAATCAACATACAATTTAAATAAACAAATTAAACCTCACTAGCATAAACACATAGCATTTTCTTGATTATGAGGTGTGATTATTCATCCTACTTTGGCCTTGACTAAAAATCTTTCTTCATCTTCAGCTCGCTGATAAGAGTATCTCCAGCTTGCAAGAAATGCAAGATACTGATACTGCACATGTAAGAACAGATAATTGAAATTTTCATTAGAGGGATGAATTGGAGGGCAGCCAGACTATTTAGGTAAATCACAGCTATGACTCAAAAGGCGATTCACGAAGCTGCTGCCATTATGCAAATTTGTATTTGAAAAAAGGGTTTCATAACCTCTGAGCTATTTGCGAAGAAATTGTTCAAACTCTCTGCTAACAGTGTAGAGGGGATTTAACATGTGAATTTCACAGTCAATTTATGGTGCTATTGAAGAGTCATATGGTGCTATCCTCGGTTAATAAGTATTTCAGTCTGAGTGTTTAATTCAGAGGATGGACGGGGGAGAGAAAACCAAAGGGGTTCCGCATGTGAACAAAATAATCAAAGGGGACGCTTTTGGGTTGTGGATCAACGGTGTTCCTATCCAAACCCATGTGGTCAGGTTTTATGCATCCGAGCATCATCACGGGCTCAGCCTTTAAGTAAAATAAGCCGGATGAAATATATGACATCATTTAATGCTCTGTGTGTTATTTTTTTTTTCTCTTTATGCCCCACAACCTTAGAAATACAAGTAAAGCAATTTAGATTGGGTGAAATATTCAAACCTTTTAATGAGAATGATTTGGGGGTTAAGAAAGCTGCTTGGTGGGGTGTACTCTTAATAGAAAGAGCCCCAGAGCCATTTGATTCCCCACAAACTCCGTGGAGCAGACGTGATACCCTATAGGTCAGCGATTGCTAATAAGAAGTCAATGAGACATGGGCTCGGGTTTTTTTTTCCTTCTGGATCTGCTCCTCTAAACGTGCCTGGGCGTCTGGGCCGCTGACCTGAGAGTATTTAGACGGTATTGTCTTTGAAATTCCAGATACTTTTTGGGCTTGTAGACTTTCTCATTAGTTCCTTTTGAAACACGGCGAACATATGGCAGTCGTATTTAAGAGATTGCCTGCCGTGACCTTTCGCGGCATGCTAATTAGGCCCCAGAGCACCGCGGGCCGTGCAGAGGTGCTCCGAGAAGCCCAGAAGACTCTTTCCCACTCCTCTCTCTCTCTCTCTCTCTCTCTCTCTCTGCCTCTGAACTTCTGTCTCATCTCGGCTCTGCCTTATCTGGTAGCAGCCGCTGACACTGCCCACTCCACAGTGTGGGTTTCAAAAATTAACATTTTGCTTCATGTGCTTCTAATAACCACTAACCTGAACCTGTACTACTCGCCACCCCACCCATTCCTTTACACCCCCCCCCGCTTCCCGTAGTTTCCCCCAACCCCTTCTTTTTACTCATTCACTCTCCTCTCACACTTTCCACAGGAAATGAATGTGCCCAAAATTACTTTGACCCATCGGAGGAGGAGCAGACAGACCCAAGGCATCGCGGGGAGACTGGGGTCAGCGCTGAAGATGAGCTGGAATTAAGTACGCCATTCTCCGTTATAATGGTTCTCCTCGGTTCATTAAAGAGGGGTGAGGGAGATCACTGGTAGTGGGCCGCCATTTGCGACGGCGGGACGGTCTATGTAAATACACTTAGCGATGGCGTCGCCAGATTGGCTAACCGAGTCGTTGTCATTGGCGAAGGTTACGTATCGTTTGGTCAGTTTTCATCTCGACGCGGAGTTTTTTTTCTCTCCCTTGTCAAATGACACACGCAGAGCCATATCAATAGTTTGCAGCCCCCCCTCCTAAAGTAGGCCTATTAAAAGCGAGCTCTTGGGAGCCAAGTAATATGCATGTTATAATGAAACCTGGCTATTAATGGAGAAGCCATTTCACCTGTATCTTTTGGATATCACTGCCGTGTAATATCTAAGGATTCACCAAATCAAATCTCATCACATGATGACAGGCCGGCTAACAGGCATGTTAATGCTCCGATTTCATTAGTTCTCCGCGTGCTCTTCATTTTTTTCACCCCTTTCTCCAGCCATGGCTAATATTTCATGTTTGCATGTTGAGATGTGTTTGAGATTGACTTCGCCGATAAGTAGAAAGCAATTTGGAGGCCCGCAAATGCATGTGATTTGCCAGCACTGTGGCGGCTTCATTAATTCAATAATTGTTTTGATTTACCAGCAATGCTGAATGCAGACGAAAACAGGCTGTATGAAAGGATGGCCGCTCTGCTGGACGACGATACCTTTATAGATTTACCAGGTATGTGTTGCGCATACCACAGCAACACTACAGCTCAGTCACTGCTTGGGCTCACACAATAGATGGAGATTAAATATTTAAATTCAGGTCATTTACTTATTTTACATTAACTGTTCATCCAATCCCCCATGAATGTCCTTAAATGGACATATCCTAATTTTAGTTTTTGGTTAAGATAAGTCTGTTGCAGCTTGTAAATGTACATGTAGCAGAGCTGACTTTGGTTTAACGCTCTAAAACTTCAACTTTTTCATTTGGATAATAATATACTAATGCAATGCAACATTTTAACTTACAAAAACAAAAGTACCAAAGCGATCGCTTTTTTGACATTACTCTATTTGTGTATGATAGAACTCAATGTTTGAGGCCTGAAAGAGCTGAAAGCAGCACCATCTTGGAACAAAGAATAAACTAGAAATGTTCCCTCTCCAGTGCTTTCCAAGCGCCGCCATTGTCTCTCAGTAGGCGTGCCTTTTCTCATTAGCTCACTTTCATTGAAACATGTAGTCATCGAGGCAACACGGAGATGTTTAATGCTCCGCATTGTTCTGGGTGAAGACAGACGTACCAGATCCTGTTGACATGACGCACATCTCCCTTGTAATTCCGGCACACAAGTGATGGGCTTAGGTCCGCTTCAACACGGTAGAATTTAGTAGGCTTGTATTATTCGCCATTGTTTTGGATTTAGCTGTACCGCCGAGATTAGCGGGTCCCATTCATTGTTTTGGAATGTTCATGAAATCCCACAGAGAAAGTAAAGAGGATCTCGGATTAACAGTTCCATGCAATAGGCTGGGAGACGGGGAAGGAATGAAGAGACAGGAAAAAAAAAAAAGACTAGAGAGCTTGTTCATCTATGCTGGAGTCAAACTGTGGTGACTGCCAGTTTGTACTTCACTCAGCAACAATAGACTTCAAGACAATTACCTTATGTAGTTGTTTGGATGCCTCCCACCGGTACGGGCTGCAAGTGTTCCTCACCACAACAGAACAGGCTTGGAGGATGTCAGACCTGATCCTGATATTAAGTGACTGCTTCTCCGGCTTTTTGTTTTTTTTATTTTATTTTACAGCCTGCCACAAAGGACCGTACATTTCACAAGAAGGAGCACAAAAAAAGAGAAAGTTTTTATGGAAGGGACAGTGGCTAGCAAGTCAGATTTTATTTTATTCTTCTGTTTTTCCCATAAAGATCTGGGAGAAATGTCTGCTTTCTGTCCAAGATCATCAGTCCTTCCTTTTTTTTATCTCCATGAGATTCTTGGTTTTGGCTCAGAGATGAATCAACACAAAACTGGCAGTCTATTCATTTGAGTTTTCAGCAATCTGTTAGCGATTGATATGAGTTTTTATACGGAAAGCATTAAGAAGAGACAACAGCTTTGGCTCCTGCACATGATGTAGGACTACACACGTTGAATATACAGACTTATAGAATACTGATGCCTTCAATCCAAGAGGAAACATAGCTCAACAAAAATGGCATACATTAAGCAGGTTAGTAACTGTAAATGATTTTTAAAAAGGAAAAAATCCTATTAGATCCACTCAGTTTAAAATGTTAAGATAAACATGTTTCTAATTCTGCAGTGTTGATTCAACCATTCATTCTGTTTCTGCATAATAATACTTTTTTTTTTTCTAAAAGAACTTTGCACGATTTCTTCAATAAGCCTTGTTAGAGGAAGACCAGACTAGTCTCAGTCTCAAATATGTTAAGGCCGATAGTGTGTCTGTGTGACTTATGTGTGTCTGTATGCCGTTTCAGTGCCACGCTGTCCACTTTGCATTGTCCACGCAAAAAAAACCCACACATCTCTCCGAGCAAGTGCACGTGTGTGTGTGTGTTCCTGCCCATGTGAACGTATGCGCCTGTGTTTGTGGATGCACAGTGATGCGTGTGCGGGTGGGTTTTTTTGCGCGTGCGCTTTTTTTTGCGCGTATGTCAGTGCATACTCATTGATGCGTGTCTCTCCAGGTACGCTGCGGGCCTCCGGGGATGAGGAGGTGTTGGAGGTGAAGGCGGGTGATCTGCTGCTCCGCGGTGGCGCCGACGCCTCGGGCCCCGGGCCCTCCCGGGCCCCCGCCGCCGCTAAAACACAGGCTGAGGGTTGCGTTGGGCCGGGAGGAGAGGCTGGACTCCAAGCAGGGAGGACGGTAATGGGCAACCAAAGCACTGCAAAAAGTAATGCTCTCCTTTATTCGGTTAGATATTGGATATTTTTTTTATTTAGACACAAAGACACAAAGACAGTGCCTTCTTTGCATTAAGAAAAATCTTACCGCACAGGACGTCGAAACCATATGCGAGATGATATTATCTAGATATCAAGTGAAGTGGAAAATATGTTTTCCTTCCATAAAACCTAAACTCTTTAAAGCCTGATCCAAGAAAAATTTGAAGAAAATTGGATTTTTTTTAGTCTGAGGTCTTTCTTTGGCCCCTCAACAACATATGAAGAAAAAAAAAAGAAATTATTTTGATCAAATTAGCGTGCAATAAGTCAAAAACATATTTTTCTACTGGCTGTTACCAGGTATATCTGAATGTGTACAACAGTGGTTTGAGCAAAGCTTTTAGCATTGAATGATGCAAAAAGTCTCAGATCCAAAAGACTTCAGAAACCGTATGTATTTGGCATTATAGGGTTAAATCAGTTACAGTCACTTACATGCATGCATGTTTAAATTAGGTGCCCCGTCAGTGGTGACATTCCATGTTGCGGTGATTTTGCGTTTATTCTAAATGTCTGAGGGTTTTTTTTGATGCCACGAGTTATTTCTTGCAGTAAGGGCAGCTGAGGAAGTGATCCCCCCCTACACCCAGCAGCTGAGGGAGCGCGTGCGGCCTGACATGATCACGCTTGGCAGGCTTTCACTGCAGCAGGTCAGGGCTACAAAGAGGAATATCTGTGTCATCATCCCATATTCACCAGCACATCAGCCATGTCCATTATGCTGTGTATCAGTGGTTCGGGCTAATGGACACGGGAGTGTGTGCATGTGCACACGCGCGTTTGCCTGCTCTTGTCTGTTCAAATGCTTGTTTGGGACTAACTCGCCTTATTAATCTTTGCGTGTTCTCCCTCCATATCGGTTTCTATCCCCAGCTCGCTCTGTAACGTTTGGAAAAATGTCTCGTTTTGTTTTCATTGAAGGTGGCTAATTCTGAGCTGTGACACATCTTTGTTTGACAGGCACGTAAAAAAAAAAATTTCTTTGCTCAAAATTGGTGTGTGGATTCCAACTCCACCTTTTATCCCACACATGACATGCTCATACAATTATTTATAAAGACGGTTTTTGTGTTTTTATAACCTTAACTTTGTTGTGCATTATTATGTATTTTCTTTGACTTTTTTTTACCCATCTTACAGCCTTTTCAGAAAAAAATAGAGCATGGCTACATATTATTTTCCAACAGATAAGTGAGGGTTTTGTAAACTACCATTATGATTTTTAAGACACATCCTTCAAAACAAGAGTCTGCATCCTTCCTCAGAAAAGAAATGGGAGTGGATACAAGAACATTGGGTTTCTATTGTCATGGGAAATCTATGTTGAAAAGAATCCCATAATTTAATGCATATGTAAAGAGGAAGCAGAACTTCTATCCGCAGTATTTTTAGTTATAATCTCTTTTGAAAAGAGAGAAAGAGTATTACATTACATGGATGGGAACAAATGTAATTGGAGAAAAAAAAGCACAACAATGTTTCAGTGTCATTTGGAAATCACAGCAACAGTTGACTCATCTACCCATAGATGGATAATAAGTGGAATCTACTGTGCTCTGTATCAGTATTGGGATCAGCGTTATCTTATTCTACTTTGATATGTACGCATTCTCCTACTGTTTTCACACCCACCTCCCATTTAAAGTACATTATCCACCAGAGATTTTACATCTATTTTGAAAATTATGGCGTTTTTCTTCTTTCTCCATTCTGCTGTACAAAGATTTTACAGGGCGAGACGCTGTCACTTAGCACTGTCAATGTGTCTGAATGGGGAGTGAGAATGTGCTGACTGAATGGAAAACCGGCAGAAATACTCATCAAACGCTACATGTCTTCAGGGTCTGGCTCAGTATCGATTGCCTACAGATTGCATTACAGTTGCTCCTGGTGCTTAATTCTGCCATTATGGCGCACTGTACTGTTTCATAAAGCTGCATCCATAGAAAGTGTGCATGTGTATTTACACATATTTTTAGCAAGAGACTCAGAAGGGACCCGTGAAGAGGAGTGAATGGGCAAAAAGAAAGAAAAGACTAATGGCCTTCTTCACTGGCAGCGTTGAGGTAAAATCCCAGATACTTCCTATTTATGTATGCATATTCTCTATGAAAGACGTGTTACTTCTTATTTATACCTAAAGCTATCCTAAAGGCATTAACATTTGACATGAATGGTGCTGATTTGCTAGTATTTACAACCAGGAAAACATGCCTTCTATATAACTGCATGGGATATATTTATCCATTCTTGAAGTTTAAGATTCTTAATGATTAAGCACATTAAAAAAAAAAGCTGTTTCATGAAAATTATTTTGGATTGAGGTCGATTACACAGAATAGTTTGGTCTGTAAAGGTTTTTGCTTTTTTTCCAAAGGATCCCAGTTCAGTAAGAGACGGTGAGGAAGCAGCGTTACCATCGCCCATGCTGAACACACTATTTCAGCAGTGAGTACAGCCCCCTTTCATATTTCTCTCCATATGTAAAATTGATGTCATACGACTGTAATCATTAATTGTGCGAAAAACATTCGTATTACAACTGACATTCGAGATTCATACGTCCTCTGCATGGCTTCTCCTGTCGGCAGGCATTGCATTGTGGGTAAGATGGCTCCGGGGCACCGAAATCTGTCCATGTCATTGAGCTCGGAGGTGCATCAATTCTTGCTCCATCCACTTTAGTCAGAGATCACACATCACATCTCGTGGCGAGAGCCCCGCAGGCCATCAGCTTAGCATGTTTAAGTTTTTAGTAATTATGGACTACCAGGCTGGCTGATAAAAATCGAGAAACTACTGTACATATCAGTATCTTGTCTTGCTGCGTTGTGGGTGGGTGGTAGTCGGACACCAGCCCTGTCAGATGAATATGGTTTGGAGTTTAGCAAGATGACCTCCTCTAGACAGCCTTGAACCCTGTAAATTCCTTCTGATATCAATAGTGGGTGGCTATTAGGCATGGGAGACTTTCTATGCATCACCTAGGGCTACATCTGCCTGAAATTGAATGAGAAATTATTTCATTTTTTTTTCTCTCCCTACGCCTATGAAAGAAAGAAAATCAAGAACAGAGACGGAGCTGACTTGTGGTTTTTGTAACAAATGTGTAATTCATTTGTTTCCACTGTTTCTGATTTAATGGAGGTTGAGTAATTGCATTAGGAAGCACAATGTGCCTTGTTGTGAACTGATGAAAGCACGTGTAATACTTTTGATAGGCAAACACTGGGAGAGAAGGACAGAAAAGAGAGAAAGATCCAGCGCCTCGCTTTGATGCGGAGCATTTATTTGCTGAATTATCCTTCCTTTAACAAGCATCTTATCCCCAGTCACAGGCAGGCCAGGGCCCCTGTGATATTGCTTTATTTTGAGGAATTAAGAGAGGTGGCGAGGAGACTGAGCGAAGCAACCGCTTATTACATTACTACTGATAAGATTGAAAGGCAGAGAAAAGCAGGGAGAGAGAAACCCACAGAGGGAAAAGGAAACACACACACGCATACACACACACACACGTACAGAGGGACCCAGTGAAAAGTGTTTTGTTGTGCTGTTATTAGATTGAGCTGCTGTTGGCTACAGAATGGAACAACAGAGGGCCCAAAATGCAGGTGGCGGTTAACAGGGTTAGCCTTTTGTGTCGGTGTGTATCAAATATATATATATATATGTGTGTGTGCGTGTTTGTGCGCGTCACAGCAGAGACACGGAGAGCCTGTCAGTCAGAGTGCTGGGAGAAGGCCAGGAAGAGGCTGCGGCCAAATGCAGCCATAATAGACAGCTCCCAGAATCCTTCGCTTCAGCATCGCAGACCCTGTGGCAGGTAAGACGTGTTAGTGGTGTGAGAAAATGTAGGTGAACTGGAAACAGAAGGTACGGCATCACAGAAGAAGTTATTGATCCTGTGAAAGTCATCCAAAAAGATAGCTCTCCATCCTTTAAAAAAAACAAAAATCACATGTTGTAATTATGTTGAATCCTGTGAGAAATGGGATCTGCGAGTGTTCTTAAACTCACTCCCGTGTGGGCATACCTTCACAGCCGTTCATTCACGCACTATAAAAGACTGAGCGTAAAAGGTTTTCCACATAATGAATGCTAACTATCCAGGCACACTATTTTTTACATTGGATAAAAAAGGAATATATTTCCCCCTGCATTTGTGTGTTTGGGGTTTTTTGATTTTTTCCGAAAACATAAGTAGGAGGAAAATTGAGTCTTTGGAGATGAAAAACGGGGGGGAACAGAGGGAGAGGAGAGAAAAAGGGAACCAAGTATAAGAAAAAGAGAAGGGGAATGAAGCTTTAGCGGAAGCATCACCAGCTGTGGGAGGAGTGTGCTGTTGTGTTGCATCTGGGGATGAGCCTGCCATGCCACCGTGCTGGCTTAAAGATGTAATGAATCTTCAGTCGGGGGCTTTCCTTCCAGGGTGACAACTGGCTTTGAGGAAGGTTGTAAATGCAGGGGAGATTGTGGTATAATTCCTCAGACTGGCGTTTGTGCCCCCCAGTCACCATTCGATTATCTCCCAAATTGCTGTGTTTCACTGAGATAAAGATTTTTTATGGCTTGCTGACTTGAAACAACTAGCACAGGCAGAATAGGGGGCAAAGCAGGCAGAGGGAAAGAGAGGAAGATAGAAAGCGAGAAGCAATGGCCAAACCTGCCACGCATAGTAATTTCTTTTGGTAAATGACAAAATCTTTGTTTATATGACATTTCCCTAAAATTACTGCAGCGAGATGAATCTGAAATATAAAATGTCACATTTGGCATGCAAAACTATGAAAATATATTTCTGTGCAAAATTCATGGAGGCATTTAATTTAGAACGTGTTTAATAACTAAGGCAGCCTGCATCAGTAATCCTGCCCGGAGGTCCCAAAAAGATTGTCATATTTATTCTCTTTTTTCTTCGCCCCCCTCCTCCGTTCCAAAGCCAAAAAATTTTAAGGGTAAATGTTCATTGTTAATTAAGATTTACTAATTAAAATGAAAATAATTAACGAGAAAGCTTAATCTCTGAATATTAGCCCATACTTAGAAAGAAAGGAAGTTTTGTATGTGGCATTTCCTGTCTCCATTAAGAGTGCATTTTGTGTGATCAGTCAATGTGTGGAAAACCCTGAAAAGATATTTCAGAGAAAGTATGGCGCTTGCCAGAAAAAAAAAAAAAGAAAAAAAACCATGGAGGATCCCTCACTGGAGCCTTTGATCTCATCTGTAGGAGTGCTGTAATGTTATGGCACTTTAGGCGCAACTCAAGGTTGGTGCAAACAAACCACCTCAGATATGGAAATTTGGCTCACTTCACCTTTTACCTTTTGCCTCACTGTCTTTACCGTCTTTTATGATGCCCCGTGCGAGCATTGTCAGCCACATTCTAACAATACCACTTAAAGATGTACGTAGTTCAAATTGGACACTAGTGTAATTTTATTGTTTTCTATTTTCCTTATTGTTCTCATTCCACTCCTCCTCCTCTCCTCCTATTGTCTGATGCATACATCCTCTTCTGGTGTGGGGGTTTGGAGGCCTTCCTCACCTCCTAAATGTGAGACGTGTGGGCTAAACCGCTTTGCCACCAATTATACTAATTTCACTTCTACCTAAATTGTTTCGGTTGTTTTGGTATGCAAAGATGTTCATAGTGGGGAGATTGTGGGGCATCACTGCAGGGCTCTCGCATGCCTTCCTCCCTCGTAGGCTTGCAGAGCACTTGGCATTGCCAGCTTTTTCCTAGGTGTTTTTTTCTGTGTCAGGAAAAAACAGAATGAGCAATCACAGGTACCAACAACACAGAATTTTACACTCTAAAGCGGACTTCGGAACACAATGTAAAAGTGTGTTTTGGTTGCGTGTGTGCGCCTGTAAGTACAAATAATAGATCTTCATTGCCACTATATCATTGATTGGAACTGAAGGTTTTAATTGCCACTCATAGTTTTCCCCCAGGAACTGGTTAACATGATGTTCATTTGAGTAGATAAAATAAATAGGATGTAACGTAGATAATCCAAGATGGCGCCGCAGAAGGCCGCCACGGTGGTTTGGTGCGCATTATTTTGTTTTATTTTGTCTTTTTACACTGGTTTTTGCGATAGTTTCCGAATACCCTTCACTAGGGAACAGCTTCTGAACATCAGGGAAACAACTCCTACGGATTTGTTTCCCACTTTTTTCGACCATTCTGCCGATTTATTGGTTTTCCTCACCAGAGGTGCCCTCGCCCTTGCCCTCGCAGCGAAACGCCGGCGGAGGGGGAAACGTGCCGGTGCGCTTGTGCGTCTCCGTCAGCGCGGTCACCGCACACCGCTGCCGGGCATATTCCTCTCCAATGTGCGCTCACTGTCCAACAAAATTGATGAACTCCAGCTGCTGATGGGGAAACGCCGAGACTGCGCCACATCTGCAGTTTTGTGTTTTACGGAGACGTGGTTATGTGGATCGATACCGGACTCTGCGCTGCAGCTGGCAGGCTTCCAACTCTTCAGAGCGGATCGTAACACGGAACTCTCCGGCAAGACTAAAGGTGGTGGAATCTGCTTTTACACCAACAGTGGCTGGTGTAACGATGTGACAGTGATTCAGCAGCACTGCTCTCCTGATCTGGAAACTTTTTTCATCAACTGCAAACCCTTTTACTCGCCCCGTGAGTTCGCCTCATTCATTCTGGTCGGTGTTTACATCCCACCGCAGACCAACGTGCAGGACGCACAGCGCACGCTCGCCGACCAGATACTGCGTGTGGAGCGGACATACCCGGACTCTTTAGTTATTGTCCTCGGCGACTTTAACAAAGGTAACCTCACCCACGAACTCCCAAAATACAGACAACTTATAAAATGTCCGACCAGAGAGGACAATATTTTGGATCACTGTTACACCACTATCAGCAACGCTTATCACGCCGTCCCCCGCGCTGCACTGGGCCACTCTGACCACGTCATGGTCCATCTGATTCCTGCATACAGACAGAAACTCAAACTCTGTAAACCAGCTGTGAGGACATCAAAGCAGTGGAGCAGTGAGGCTGTGGAGGATCTTAAGGCGTGTTTGGAGACTACTGACTGGGATGTTTTCAGGACTGCCACCACCAGCCTGGATGAGTACACAGAGACTGTGACTTCTTATATCAGTTTCTGTGAGGACTGCTGCATACCATCACGCACCAGGGTGAGCTACAACAACGACAAACCCTGGTTCAGTCCTAAACTCAGACAGCTGAGGCTGCAGAAGGAAGAGGCATTCAGGAGCGGGGACAGGGACAGGTTTAAGGAGTCAAAGTACAGGTTTAGCAAGGCGGTGCGGGACGCTAAACGGCTGTACTCTGAGAATCTCAAAAAACAGTTCTCAGCCAACGACTCTGCATCTGTCTGGAAGGGGCTCAGGCAGATCACCAACTACAAACCTAAATCCCCCCACTCTGTCAACGACCTGCGTCTGGCAAACGAGCTGAACGACTTCTACTGCAGATTTGAAAGACAATGGGACAGTCCTAACACCAACACCATCCCCCGCCACCACCAGCCCCTGCCCTCCTGCACCCCCATCCCCACCTCAGCGGGGGCCTGCCCCCACCCTCAACTGCCCACATTGAAGGACCCCCTTCCGTCAACTACCATGACTCTCTCCATCCAGGAGAGGGACGTATCCAGTCTATTCAGGAAACAAAAACCACGCAAAGCAGCTGGACCCGACTCTATCTCTCCTAGCATCCTGAAGCACTGCGCAGACCAGCTGTCTCCTGTGTTCACTGACATCTTCAACACCTCGCTGGAGACATGCCATGTGCCCGCCTGCTTCAAAACCTCCACCATCATCCCCGTCCCCAAAAAACCAAAGATTTCAGGCCTCAATGACTACAGACCTGTCGCCCTGACCTCCGTGGTGATGAAGGTATTTGAGCGCCTTGTCCTCGCCCACCTGAAAGACATCTCAGACCCACACCTGGACCCACTGCAGTTTGCCTACAGAGCCAACAGGTCTGTAGATGACGCTGTCAACCTGGCTCTCCACTTCATCCTCCAGCACCTGGACTCCCCGGCCACCTATGCCAGGATCCTGTTTGTGGATTTTAGCTCCGCCTTCAACACCATCATCCCCGCTCTACTCCAGGACAAGCTCTCCCAGCTGGGTGTGCCTGACCCCACCTGCAGATGGATCACCGACTTCCTATCTGACAGGAGGCAGCATGTGAGGCTGGGAAGCCACACCTCCAACAGACGGACCATCAGCACTGGATCCCCCCAGGGCTGTGTTCTCTCCCCCCTACTCTTCTCCCTGTACACCAACAGCTGCACCTCCAGCCACCAGTCTGTCAAGCTCCTGAAGTACGCGGATGACACGACCCTCATCGGACTCATCTCAAAGGGGGACGAGTCCGCCTACAGGTGGGAGATCGACCGTCTGGTGTCCTGGTGTGCAGCCAACAACCTGGAGCTCAACGCGCTCAAGACAGAGGAGATGGTTGTAGACTTCAGAAAGAACACAGCACCACCTGCTCCCATCACTCTGGGTGGCTCCACAATTGCTTCTGTGGAGTCCTTCTGTTTCCTGGGGATCACAATAACCCAGGACCTCAAGTGGGAGCTGAACATCAGATCCCTCACAAAGAAAGCCCAGCAGAGGATGTTCTTCCTGCGGCAGCTGAAGAAGTTCAACCTGCCCAAGGCAATGATGGTGCACTTCTACACAGCCATCATTGAGTCCATCCTCACCTCCTCCATCTCCATCTGGTACGCTGCTGCCACCGCTAAGGACAAGGGCCGACTGCAGCGTATCATTCGCTCAGCCGAGAAGGTGATTGGCTGTGATCTGCCATCCCTTCAGGACCTGTACGCCTCCAGGACTTTAAGGCGTGCAGGAAGGATCATGTCTGATCCTTCTCACCCTGGTCACAAACTCTTTAAAACTCTCCCCTCTGGCAGAAGGTTGAGGACCATCAGGACCAAAACCTCACGCCATAAAGACAGTTTTTATCCAACAGCAACTGGCCTCATCAACAAGACCAGCGACCCCCACCTATTCTTCTCCCCCCCCCCTCTACCTCACTAATTCACTCCAGCATTTTCTGGTCTGTCGTTGCAGATCAACATTGCACATTTCAATTGTTAATTTGCACATTCGAATCTATATTTTTAAAGATTGTTAATTTGTACATTCAGATTTATACTTTTAAAGATTGTATTTTTCAGTTTTATCATTCTGCCCTATATCTTTATTTTTACTTTTTATTATTGCTTCTCATAGAAGTGTTGTGTTGTGCACTAAACACCAAGGCAAATTCCTTGTAAGTCTGAAAACCTACTTGGCAATAAACCTGATTCTGATTCTGATTCTGATTCTTCTGATAATCATAAATTCCCACAATAAGGAAACCACTGGACAGGATTAAACAAGATGAGTGAGTACAAAATATGATGGGATGGTATGGAATGGGACAGGATAGGATAGGATAGGATAGGATAGGATAGGATAGGATAGGATAGGATAGGACAGGATAGGATAGGATAGGATAGGATAGATAAGATAGGATAGGATAGGAGCATATGATGTGTATAAGTATCAATACTACTTTATATGGCCACATGAATCCATAGACCACTATTTTCACCAGCTATGGAGCAAAGATAATACAAAACCAAAACCAAGGGTCTCAATTTGAATTTCAATAAAGAGATCGTCACCCCATACCACATGGAAACAAAAGGTTGAATGTATATTTATGTTGTCTTTTCGATTAGCCCCCCATTAAATGGCTGACATTTTGAAAACTTCATCTAACTAGATTATCTCACTTTGTTAACAGTTTATTTACAGATATGCCTCTCAAAAAGGTCGGTAGGGCTTGACCCTAAAGTGGATAAGGGACATTAGCTGCAGTAAAAGTTAAAATCCATTAATTTCCCTTCGTTTTTCATGAATCAAAGAATCTTGTTCATGTTAAATTCATCCTACCTACTTATATAAACCAAAAAAGAAGAATACAACATGTACTAATGTTATTGTAGATGCACCTTATAATTCTATAAGAATTGTTAAGAAACTTTTCCCCTGGATTGGATCGACAGAGATGTTATGGATCTTACCAAGTTGGCAAAATTGCTCTGCTAGGTGGCTAATTTCTGTATTTTCCTACACTCATGTATAAGGCACCAGTAGGGGAATTGAGTTGGCTTTGTATCTTTTTGTTTTTTTTCCTAATATCAAACTTATTGATTGTGTTATTATCTTAATGTGCCCCATCAATGATTCAGGCTCATTGATGCAATATATGAAGGAACCTTGAGTAAAACCTGTGGTCTTTTGCCTATGTTTGGTGTGTGATGTGCTTAAATTCTACCTTGCAAAGAGGTCATTGAAGTTCTGGTGGTACACTGCAACATTGTGTCTATTTCAGGAGGAGCAGGGGACTCTTCCTCGGCCTGTGGAGGTGCGTGTGTGTTGCCTGAGGTCCACCAGAGAGAAGCTTCCCAGGGGTCTCTATTCTGTCAGCGTGGCACTTCACAGCCATCTCGGGGGTCCAGCTCTCGCCTTTAAAAGCAAGAAAGCAAAGAAAACTTGGGCCGTGTCCACTGAGCCAACGGAGCATCGGGGTCGCTTCCACGACAATGACCTGCAAATCAACCAGAGCGTGGTCATGGTAAATGTGAACAAATGAGTAAATTAAGTTTAATTTATTTCTAATTTTTTTGCTTAGCTTGATGTATTTACAGTCAGAGTTGCAGATTTGACAGAAAGCAAAATTCTCACATCATATTAAGGGCACAATGCTTTGTCCAGCTCCATCTTATCAAAAAAAGAGCAAAAGACAGATTCCTTCCCCGTTTCCTTGGTTTTCAGCAGTTGCAGAGGACATGCAGCAGATTAAAGTGTGTAAGGCTTATGAGAAGTTATCGTATATTGCTGTAGAAAGCAGGATATGAAAATATGCCACACACAGCCCCTGGTTTTTACCCGCTGGGATTTCCATATGAATAAAACAACAACTTCTCAAATATGGCATTTAATCCATGCATGTAAATCAAACCTAATATCAATTATTCATTTATATAAGAAAGCTATGTTTTATTGGAGGCAAAATGAAGAAGAAATGGAGTGAAAGATTCAGTTTGTGACTTCAGTATAAAAGTCAGAAAGTTACTCTGAACTGACACAGAGCATATTTGAAAAAAAATCTCAATCATCCATTCCCTTTGAACAATAGAAAGATGTGTTTTTGCATTTGGTTCTTTTGATTAAATCAACACAGCAGATCAAATTAGATGAAATCTCTGCGCATTTCACAGCCACTTCTTTAAACCTCTTGATATGATGGAAGCCATCCTCTATAGACGCAGCGCTAATCTTAAGAAACCCACGGACTTATTCTGGATGGCTGACATTGACCAATGGATTAGAACTCTTTGGTTATGTTTATTCATTGACGATGTGTGCATGGGACAAAGGACTCCCAAGCGAAACCTGAAAACAGAAGCCTCTGAATTCAGTGTCCCTCTCCATCCCATATAGTCTAGTAAATGCTTCTGATGGCAACTGTTAAAGGCCTAGCTGGAGCATTGAGCGCATGTGGACACTGTCGATGCGCTGGTGGGCGTATTCACTGAGCTCAAGCTTCCTGATAATATTGTCTCCAGCTCCCATCAAACATAAAAGATGGGGTTTAAAGCTGGCACGAACTGAATGCAGACCTAGGATCTGATTCAGAGGTAAAAAAAAAAAAAGAGGGTTTAAGTAAGGCATGGTAAATGCCTCGTGTCACTCTTCTTTCCCTCCTCTCCTCCCCAAACCACGAGCAAAAAAACCGGCTGCTGTTGTTCTCATTGACAGCGGTGGAAATGGTGATCAGATTTATCTGAGACTTTCTAGCTTAGCTGTCTTTTCTGTCTCTATCTTGCCCACACTATGGCATGAGATTTCAAAAGTATGTGCAGTTCCCTCTGAGAGGAAATGAGGAATTAGTGATGGTAGGAGGAGGCCAGAAGCTTATTTTCCTTTCCTCCCCAATCTCCCGCTCCCACTTTTTCTTTTCATTCACCGATCGCTTTGTCTGTCTGCTCGGATTTAGACTGAAACAGAGACGCTCAGTTGGAGTTGTGTTCCACATGCAGGTGAGTGGGAACTACGAGAAGAGTTGAGAATTACTTGCGGCCTGAATTCATCTTTGAGGCAAGATTTAAACTTTCGCAATCAGATTTCATCAAGGAGGAAAAGACGGGTAAAGACAATAACCAAAGTGATGAAAGCCCCCCTGATGTAAATATGGAGCTCTACCGATTTAGTCCTTTTCCTTTTTTTCTAATAGTGTGTCCTATAATTTGGTTAATGAGGAAAGACTGTGAGCTAACTAGCTTGCACAGAGGCTGTCCTCATTTCTGAATTCAATTAACAAGGACACCACTGATGGTTTAAGAGACTCCCCTCTAAACAGAGGAAGTGACAAAAATCCTTGGCACAGCATCCCGTCTCACAAACCTGACAACAACACAGGACTTCCCCGCTACACACAAATGCAAAACAGAAGCACATGTCTACACAAAGGCACCTAATTCACACACACACATATGTACTACTTATGCGGGTCATATTTCTCACAGTAAATGACTAATATGGATATCTTCAATATTCTCAATATCTGTAATCCGTGATATTATTCCATAAATTTGTGTCCTGAGTCCCACACTACTACCCGTCATTTGGCAGGTGCGTACCAGGGTGAGCGCGATACTCATGATTTATGTGTTAAAACAGGTCCTCTGCATTTTCCATTACAACTAATAAAGGAATAAAATATTCCCACCTGGTGATGGATGAAGTCCCACACTCCTCACTGTCAGTTCATTTTTTAAGCAAACCAACTGTGCTCAGGGTAAATAAGAACGCATGTATTTTTCATTGACTGCTAACCACCAGCACTTTTTGCCCCGTGCAAGACACTGGTAATTCTATCAGTTTGATTGATATAGGACCTCGTGATTGTCAAATTCAATGGCTGTCGGCTAGTACTGCGGTGGACATCCAAAGCATCTGAAATCCAAAATATTCAAAAAGTTATTGGATTGGTAACATGTATGGGTATTAGCTAACAGGGAGCAAAGAGGCATATGGAAAAAATAATAGACGTCGGCTCGGGGTTATTCTGGCTTCAGAAGACATATCAAAATTGCTCCTTTTTGCCATTTTCCTGTTATTTTATGTCTTATGTGTGTATTTGGTTTGGTGAATCTGATCAAGGCTGTGGATACATAATCCAGGATTTTAAATGTATGTCATAGATTGTATGGCGTGTACTTGTGCCAGCCTATGCGTGACATGAATTTCTCATTTTTTTTATTTGTTTGCAGGACTTTCTAGCAGCGTGTGATGTCAGCCCCTCAATGGTGCTGGTCTTCCAACTCACCAGCCTGCACGGGCACGGCGGCCCTGTCGGCTCGGTCCTAGCCTGGGGCGCGTTTCCTGTTTGTGGCCCAAATATCAACCCTATCCGGGGCAGGTGAGGCAGTCGCGGACGAGATCTAATTTACCAAATATGTGCCTATTTCTGCTCGTTTTCAGGAGCGCTCCCGCCATCGAGAACTTCCCCAGTTGCCACTAACAATTTTGTGTCGTTGACCCAGGTTCAAAACGCCAATGCTCAGGGGCGAGCCCAGCATCCAACTGGACCAGTTTAGGAAAATTGAAGCTCTCATCTCCTCTGATCTAGATCACTGGCTGTGCAACCTATATTTTGAGGTTTGTTCCAGTATCGGCATATTTGAAAATATTCATAACAACTATAGATATGCACAAACACATACACATATACTGTATGTATTTATATATATATATATATGTATATGATATGTGTGAAGCTATGAAAACGTATGTTAAATGTGAATACAAAACCATTTTAGTCTTCCCCTAAACCTCTCCTATTATTGAGAATGTTTTGGAGGCAGGATGGTAGATATGGAAAGATTGGGGTTGGATATTTGGATTTTCTATGATAAAGAGCTTTTACCAAAGCACTGGAAAATTGCCCCAGAGAGCAAACAAGAAACCACATCTTTACCCAGCAATTCCGGACGTAGTCAAGCTGATGCATTGATTAGATTAGTAAACATCTTAATTGAATTAAAAACCCAGAACAAAGCGCTCTGTCTCCTGCTTTTTGCATCTTTATTTACCCCTCTGACTGTGACATGCTGTTTTGTATTACGACACTATCATTACAGTTGTCTGCAGTTGCTTTCATTCTTGGAGGATGCTTTCGTGCACCTTTTGTTTTTCTGCGCCGCACAAAAGAACGTGCGGTATTCACGGGACGTTTAGAAGTTTAATTAAATTGTTTTATGGGCACAGTGTGACAAACGCTAATAATCTGCCTTGTCTGCAGTTTGGTTATGGACACCTGTGATGTAATTGCAAACACGTGTCGTTTTCTTTTACACAATATGACGCACTGGATTCATATGAACATTAAGACATTAACTCAGAGAGGTTGTATTAATGTTCACTGGAGTCATAAGTAGGCTTCCAACAGATTAGATCTTAAAATATCCTCCTCTTGTCTGTTTATTTTAAGGTAAAAACAACCTCACCTGGAACATGTGAGAAACAAGAGATGCTCCTAGCGGCAGCATCAGTACCGCCCACCAGCCTTGCCGTCTTCCCAAAACCCGATGTCCATCAAGATCAGCCTCGGCTCTTTTCTCAGGCCGCTCACCCCTACCGCCAGCAGCACGTGCACACACACTCCGGTTGCGGAGCAGGGGAGCCCACCGCGGTTCACTCCCATCAGGGGTCGCCCCTCCACCTGTCAGCCTGCTCCTCTTCCACGCTGCCAGGTAAGGGGTCTCAGCCACAGTGGGGAGGAAATGTCACTCTAATGTCACCAGCAGAGGGAAAAGAAGAATGGCAGGCCTCACTTACAGCAGATCTCCACTGAGGTGAATGTGCTTTTGGGTGGAAATCACCAAAGACAGTGAGCAGAAAGAGGGAAACAAAGCATCTTTCTTTGCAGAGAAAAAGTCTATAACTTAGGTATTTACCTCTGATAGGGCCAAATGTTCCTTTAAATATACTGCACTGCATGTTATTCTCAGATGTAACATGAATATAAAAAGATATATGTAATATATATATATACAGTGGGGGGAAATAAGTATTTGACCCCTTGCTGATTTTGCAGGTTTGCCCACTTACAAAGAATGCCTATTTTTCCTCATCAGATGGTTATCCATTTTTATAAATTCATATGATGTGATTTTCTGGAATTTTCTTTGGGATTCTGTCTTTCACTGTTAGAATGTACATATGATTAAAGTTATAGATCGTTACATTCTTTGTAAGTGGGCAAACCTGCAAAATCAGCAAGGGGTCAAATACTTATTTCCCCCACTGTATATACATCTGTATGTATAATGTAAATATAGGTAAGTGGATTCAGTGGATAGATTCTACATTCTACAGCACATTTGTAATCACATCAAAAGCGGGTTAATGATTTTGTTCAGAGCAAAAAAATGTCTGCCGCCTCATTTTTAAAGCATGCTGTACTCGTTTCCCACTTTATTCATACAGCATGACGGCCATTGCTAGAAATCAAATACTGGTTCATTTGGTATTGATTTACAACAAAGACAACTGGCAAGCATCTTTGTTTTTATTACATTGCCCTTTTTTTTCCCTTGCCTTGCCTTTCCTTCCTTCTTTCTTTTCTTTCTTTCTTTCTTTCTTTCTTTTTTTTTTGCACGCACAGCTCATCTTTATTTAACAGTTCTCAAAAGTTTCTGGGGTGCTCTGCTTTAAACATCACACAGGCTTTTTAATTACAAATGAGTTGTGACAGGTCTGCTGGGTAGCACCCTGGCCCATTTTAAACGTGATGCCGGCTGACAGCTTGGCAGTGTTCTCCCAGCACTGAAACATGTGGAAGAAATTGGTCTTTTACATTTCACAGCTTGTCGCTTCCTCCGCTGGCTGACCTGTGACCCCCCACAGAGATCCTAACGCCCACAAGGGAAGTGTCCCCAACCAACCGACTGCCTTTCCTGAGAGAGAAAGCGAGAAAAATAGGGGAGATTTATGTTCTGACACACTAGGCAAAATGCAGTAGGTCTCCTCCCTGCTCAAATCTGCGAGTTCTTACTCACGCTGGGGCATGGATGACCCCCCCCCCCACCACCCCCACACCCTGCCCCGCACAACACACAACCTCACAGCCAGGTGACAGGGTTGCATGGGAAGTGAACCTGATCCAAGAGTAAAATAACGGATCAAAAGGTGTCCTGCACAACACCTCATGCGCGCTTGTTCCCCTAAGCCGACCTGACGTTTGTGACTCATTTACATACAGATCCGTTCACGTTGCATTACCTCTGGAGTGAATTATGGCGTTCAGATGTAGGCGATATGTCAAGGCTGAAGGAAGTGATTGGGCGGACAACTTTAACCTAGCCAAAAATGGAAATCCAATTCAGCAAGGAAAAGACGAACAAATTACTCCCCCCCTGCTTCAATTCTTACACAAGTCTGAGTTTTTTTTTAGACATTTCCTTCCTATACCATGCCTCCATGTTTCTGAAGTGCACTGTAGTGGGAATCACTTTCTCTGTGTTTATAATCCATGACTTTTCCTAATTACAGCACAAGAATATGGATCCCTACTGTCATAGGAAAAATTTCAGAGCATAAAGCAGCATCTGACAATGAGACAGGAAGTTTGCATTCCTGAGGCCTTAATGTAATTAATCCCCATGGAAAAAATGACAGTACTAGAATGGCTGTACAGAGCTAAACCTCACATCCCAATCTCAGACAATAGCTTAGGTTTTGAGCAGAGGGTAAAAAGATTCTTGGTTGGTTCAGCTTTGTGTGAATTCAAAATTTTGAGTCACAAATTAATTAGATAACATATGATAATAATCTGATTTACCTTGGATGAGTTGTCATAGCATAATGGGGCATATTCGGATTCTGATTAGCTAGAGGCACATTGGGATAAGTGACCTTTCACATTGACTGAATGATCCAGTTACACTGGGTTTGTTTAAACCCATACGACTAATTAGATCAGCATCTTGTTACATGATGGCCTTCAGTGGATCACCAAGAGCTCGCTGATGACGCTGCCATCACTGTTTCACTTTTCACTTTTGTAATTATCATTTTATTTCTTGAACAAATCTTAACATCCTACCTATGAGCACTGATGGTAATTTTCAAGATTTTCTTATATTTGTATTATTTGGAAGGTTATCCTGCACTTTCAGGTCACCCCTTGTAATCCAAGTTTCTTTTGTAAAAACATTAAGAGTTTAGCGTATATCTACATACTTTAAACTTCCAAATTTTCAAGTACTGGTGTTCAACTTGACATATTGGTTTGTGTGTTTTAGCAGGTGGACTTTGGACTTAGGCATTGATTGGGGGAAATGGATATTTAGATGTGACTCATTATTAATGAGCCAGTTTAATAGAAGCCATGTTTTTTTTAAAGTCTAACCTTCTAATTTTATCTCCCAGCAAATTGAAAACTACCTTAACAATCACAATAGTTTATGAGCCATCAAAATAAAACTGCTGCTGCAAGGTACACACAAAAAAATTACCTATCACTGTGACTCAAAGGAGTTCATTTTGAGATGATTTCACATTTTTTCCAGGAAATTGTGCTGAGAAAAACACATGGGACAAACCCACTCGAAGGCCAAAGTTCCTCATCTTCAAAATTTCTACGAAAATTTCCAGGTTGCGATCAGATGCGTGCGGCAAACACTCATTGAAATGCAGTGGATTCAAAGAATACGCGCCGTGTGAGGGGACCGGCAAACTCTGACCCTATCGTGGCAACCTTAAAACAAAATGAAGTCACAGACCGGAGGGCGATGCGCGAGTTGCCGACCTTTGATTCTTCCGCAAATTTCGACCAGTCGTGCGGTAATTAGCGGCCTTGGTGAGCAAGAACCAGCACTCGAGCGTGGTTCCTCCTCACCACCGCTGTGGTTTCCCCCTTCAGGGCTTTTTTTGTCTGTACTCGACCTGCTTTTTTGTGTGTAAACAGGAGAGAAGAGAAGCACGAGGTACGCTCATATTTCCACCCAGGGAAGTGATTGTGCATATATGTGAGTTGTTTTTGTACACTAATGTCTGTGCCTTGTCTTTAGTGTGTGGGAGCATCGGTGGATGTGTGTGTGCTGAACGAGTGCTAGTCTAAACACAGCTCAGAGCGAACGGGGGGGGAAAACAAGGAGTTTGTTGTTGGCCTTGGGTGCCCGGAGAGGCTGGAGTTGTGGCAGCTCCAGCATCTCTGAGTTCACGGACGTAGCCCTCAGCTGTCAGAGCCGTCGATGCTGCCTCCGCACTGATTTTTGGTTGCGCAGCGTCTGACCAACAAGCGTTGTGGCACCGAGTGAGCGTGCGTGTGTGTGCAAAAGTTACGTGATTGGTTGAGCAGTTTTGAGAAAGCGTTCTAATCCATTGGGGTCCAAGACCATGAGTGTACACGGATATTTGTTTCTATTGGAGGTGGAGAGGTTTGCGTGTGTAGGTGCTCTTACATGTGTGTACAGGTTTTTGCAAAGTATGCACTATCATGCACTGCTCTGTCTCAGATTGTCTCCAAAGGAACACATTTTTGGTAGAGTAAAGCGTCCATATGCAGTTAGACATGCAGAATGTCCTGGACGCAATCAGAAAGGCCCCATAGTCTTCATTTAACAATATCTGAATTCTTGCCTTTATTCCTCCTTTTTAACCTAATTCACATTTGTCTATCTACATTTTCTCATGGCAGTGCTATTGATTTTCGGTCTAGTTTTTAACAAACTTTCTAAAAATGAGCAAAGCTGTCCTCATCACGTCCACGTTTGCTCACACTCTGAACATAAAGCATGTGACTCAACTTCACGCTGACACATAAATAACTTTGCATTCATGTAGTGTCATGAAAGTGTTGAAATATTAGCAGTTTTATCCCGAAAACAGAGGAAATAAATCCTTATTAGCTTGGAACTGTAGGCGCTCTCAATGTTTACCAGCAAAGAGGTGCTAAATGGAAACTCCATTTGTGTGAAATCTGATTTTAGAGCCCTTTAAAAATAGCAATGAGCAGACTCTTCCCGTCATTTGCATGTAGAACATTTTAGCTGTCAGAAATATTTTTTATATGTGGCCTATATTTAAGTTATTATTACTGATATATTTAATCCCGTGGCAAGAGAAAAATTATATCCTTCCAGAGTTTTCCATATGTATTATATAGATGTGATTGGTTCCACAGGGTGAAAAAAGTTTCACATAGTGAGATTTTTTACATGTATCAAGCTAAGGTTTACTTAATTACAACCTCCAGGCAAAGCAGGAACCCTTTTTTAAATTCTGTGAATGTTAATATGCTAAATAATGCAGATCTTCGACTCTTCAAGCATGAGACACACATCTGGCGGCTTACCATTTAAATTACAGCAAAAAAAAAAAGAAAAGTGAGACAGATAGAGAGAAAAGAGGAAAATGGAGGATGAAAACCACTTTGAAAGTAATTTACCAAAGGCACGGGAACAGGACAAGGTATTTCAAGCAACTGAATTTCTTTTTAGATATTTTATTTTAATTGTATCCCTTCTAATTGTTTTCATTTGAGTGTTTAGGCTACAAAGATTCAGCAGAAAGAGATGACTCTGTGGGAAAGAACTCCATGACTTAACCTTCCTTCTGCTGTCTGTTAATGAAATTACACTTTGGTACTTGCTTTTGTGTTGTGAGAAATTAAGCAAAGAGAGACTGAGACGTGTGCTTAAATGCAAAAATCGCTTCCCCTTATCACTGTCTGTCTGCTCTTTTTATCCATGAACAAAAACTTATTTTGGTGATCTTTATATATTTCCCAAGCATCTTTCGCAATGTCTCTTTATTAATAATTTGCTATTAAAACCTGCAGAGTTGTTGAGGTTAGATATTTGTTTGCAATGATATTATCTATTTAAATAGAACCTTTTTGTTTGGATGCAGGGAAACATGACTCCTCTGAACCTTATTCTGGAAACGTTGGGGAGAAGTGTGATCCATGCGGGGAGAAAGCGGACGACGTTGTTCACAACAAGGTAACGCTGCTGACGAGGAAGTGATCCACCCCTAGCAGTGAGCACCCTGTCTGCTTTTCCCATTTCCTTCCCTTCTCTGCGCCCTACGCACACCTCCCCGGCTTATTATCTTAGATTTGTCAAAATACATTTCACACTAACAGGTATTTTTCAGCCTTCAAAGCCAGTTTTGATCTGCATGACAAGCCAAAGCAGCTCAAATTCTGTGAAATCAGCAATGCCAGCCAGGCCTCCTTTCTCTCTCTCTCTCTCTCTCTCTCTTTCTCTCTCTCGCTAAATCATTCGTAACCCGCCTCTTCCTGTGCTACAGAGGACTTAAGCTAAATTAATCAAAGCTTTCGTGTTACCTGCCATACTTTGAAGTGGTAATTGCAAAATGACTCTATGTGCTGATCTAGCATCGTAGCCTTCCGGTCCGCCCCTACCATTGTGCGCCCATGGAGGCCTTTTGTTGTTTTTGATGTTATTGTTGGGCTGGTTTTTGAAGACTACGAACAACATCAAGCCTCCATCGCTGACTCTCAAACATCTTCCCCTCCCGCTTTTTTCTCCTCCATCTCTACTTTTCTTTATTCTCGCTAACCTCCTTTCACCGACGTACAAGAGGCTCTTCCGAACGCCATTAATCAATGATGACCTGTTAAATAAATGAGTTTGTTGATACAAGGTTTTTTTTTATTTCTCTGCTGCCTCTGTAGACTTTTTTTTTTTTCCCTCTTCCCCTTTCTGCCCTATCTTTAAAACCCTGCTAACTCTGTCAAATGTCACGGTGTGGAACCCAGTTGTCTAATGATTAAGTGGAATGATCTCCAACCTGCCCCAGCCTGGGAGCACTAGGGATCAGATTTCAGCCCTTCAACCTGCAGTGCAGGCCTAATTAAAATGAATTTTCTCCAGGCGACCACTTTGCCCACAGGGCAGGAATCCGGCTATATACGGAATCCACTCTTAAGGTATTGCATTAAATTTATTGTGGGGAGACACCGGAGAACATTGTGGTTTATATATCTCCTGCATTTTTTTTTTTTTCTTCCCCTCCCTGCTTTCTTTCTCGCTCTTTTCCACGTTTTTTTTTATTGTGATCATCACTCTGGAATCCAAGCTTGCTTTGGCAAAGATTGCCCCTATGAAAACGGATGGAGCTTTTATGGGACTCTGCCCATTTACTACTTCCTGGGCCTAGTTTATCGCAGAGGGGGAGAGACAGAGAGTGAGAGATGGAGGAGAGGAAAAGATTAAATAAAAGAAGAAGGAAGAAAAAAAAGGAGAAAGGTGGAAGGAGAATGGGGTAGGAGCAAGCTTATTCCAACTATGGAACTCATTAACATACATCAGTGTGTATTTCACAACTTGAAGCAGAAAGGCACTAAGCCCACCCAAGGGCAACGCAAGCAGGGCTGACAGGGCCAGGGAAAGCAAGCCGTTAACATGTTGGCGGCTTAACAAATAATATCTGCTCCCAAGTACCTTGGTGAAAAATTTAAACCCCCCCCCCCCACTCCTAACTCCATTCCGCTGTGTTTATGACGATGACAGTAAACGACTTGTATGGAGGAAAGAATAAAAAATAAAAAATAAACAGTGCCAGCTGCTGAAATATCCCATATTTAACGCCACCGTCACCGTACTCGCGTTTCCCCAAAATGAAGTCGGCTTGAAGGATGGCGTTTGCCGCGTGAAGATTTTCGCTGTCATTCTCGCCTCACGTCAATTGAGGCACGGTTGAGATATAGGAGAAAAATCTCCCGAGCGCCGCGCACACTGTCGCTGTCACCCGCGTGCATCCCCAAAAGATAAATTCGGGGGGCCCCCGTTTCCCGCTTTGATTACAAATGACATCCGTGTGTGTGTTCTCTCCCCCGATCTCTCCTCTTCACAGAAGAAGCCAATCAAGAAGACAAATAGCTGCGGCCCCGGCATGCCTCGGCAGGCGGGCAAACAGAAGATGCAGCCTTCAATCGGGAACCTCTCGGTGGAGGAGATGGAGGAGTACACTTTCTCTCTACAGTAACTCTCACCCGACACTCTCTAACCCCTCATGCTTGGAAAGAGTCAACTTTGTTGTCTTACTCACGTCGCTTCAAACAGGCAGACAGACGGCAACAACAACGCGTAACGCCTTCGTAACCTATCACAGATATCGTTGCTCTCATCTTGGGGAGCTCCATCAGAACCCGTTTAGAGCTAATTTTAGTTTTCAACATTGACGCGGATGAGGCAAAGTCAAATTTTGCAACTTCCCAACTTCACACATACTGAAGAAAAAACAAATAACACGTAGGAATATCGAGCAAATATCCACATTTCTGAACGTGAGTGGATTAAAATGTAAGTTACTCTCAAAGTTTCCCTTTGTTGCTGGCATTAAGAAGTCAAAACAATCAATCGTTCCGGTCCGCTTTGAACAATCAATCATTCCGGCTTTGTCGTTGCATATGAGGGCAAAAAGAACATCGCCCAGCCTTTAACCATAACCCCAGACTGTTAAATGTTTTTCTTCTCAAAGTCTGAAAAAAATGAGTTTTTCTCTTCATTTTAGCTTAGAGCATTTAATTCTAATGAAAAAGAAATAAGAAGGTATGAAAAAAGAGCAGGGCAGGAAGCATGGAAATTCAAAAACCTTGGCCACATGTGTTAAAAGCAACAAGGTGGAGGGCTGTTGGCCCGTGGAGCTTCAAAACAGGCTGAAAGCAAAATGACTTATTTCAACAAAAGAATAAAAAAAAACAAAAAAAAGAAATCACAGGTATTTGTTTTTATTTGAAAGTCAACTAAATTAAGGGGGAGGAGATTACAGAGGAGGGAGAACCAGTCAGACGGAGTCTATGCATATGCGAGAGAGACATAAAGCGAGTTCTCCCAGGAGGTTTAAAAGTACCCTTGTTTCCTCATTTCTGGGAGTTCGTAATTTATAGCTGCTGGTCACATATTAAACAAGATCAGAGACTACTCTCTGACATCTTCCGAACATACTTGGGGAATTCAAATGATTACCGGCGTATCCTGCCAACAAATGACGACACAGGGACTGTCTTCGGGGGGGAAAGAGTGAATACAAAACGAACACAAGAACGCAGGCAGACTGCACACAAAGACGACACAATAAATGGTTTTCACGGTTATGCAGAGTGCCTGGGTTTTTACCTCTGAGGGGCTCCGTAAGATGAGACATCATTGTCAGTTATAGGTATGAATTGTACAGAGGTACATTGAAGTTTTGGCTTTTCCCAGATGCCCCTGCTGTTGATTTCATCTTTATAAGCACACACATTACAGTCCCTGTGAGCTAATCTTCAGTTTTTTTTTTTGGTCTCACCTAATCAGACTATTAGAATGATCCATGATGAGTGTTGGATTTCCCAATGAAGTTAAAGACACAGTCTCACACTCGTCACCCACTGCTCCCTCTGTATTGTTTGGATTGCTTTGGGCATGTCTATCTGAAGAATAGCACAGAACCAGGCATCGGGGTCTCCTAATATGCTTTCATCATATTAGCATTACTATTATCTTATTAGCTACTATGATGTCATCTCAGTCCCCTCTGTCCTTTTGCGTGTCCAGTTTTGTACCTCCGACTTCGTACAAAAGGATCTAAAAGCGCATATTTGAACTTGTGTTTGCGTCCGTGTGCCCAGTGCTTACTGACTGCACGAGTGGGCCCAGTTTGTCAAACACAAGTCTGTATGTGTGTTCATGTGTTTTAAGAGAGATGAAGATTCATGCTGCCGTGATTGAGGGATATTACTGCCATCTATTGAGCCGCAAGAGACTTAGCTCATTGAGGTTTTTATGGGAGCGTCCAGACACGGATGTGCAAATCTGATGCTCATGCAATATTCAGGCAACACGTAGACACAATAAAATTTGGTTCACATAACCTGAGAATCATAGAAACGATTTGGCGCGATGCATTCGTGTACAAGTCATAGTCCAGAGCACTTTATTCACCAAATAAGATAGATGCAGAGAAGATAAGTGGAACGGTTTATACAGATGTTTTCTAAAGCTTATTGCTGATAAAATAATCCATTGACTGTATAGGCTTTACAGATATGTAGTCTTAGGTAATAAAAGCTTCATTTAAACTGTCTGAAAATTCGGAGGGATTGGACAAAGCAAAGTTTTTACAGTACAATAAATAAGTTACAATTTTTTATTAATTATTTTTACCCCTCAGTGATACTCACCTTTTCTTTTCAATTCAAATTTTCTCAGAGATTAAGCATGTTTACATCTGAATAATGTTTACTTTAAATCAGATAGTCTTATCCCGGTTAATCCACGGTGAATCTTTTTATTATGTACACTCAATTTAATTTTCAGTTGCAGGTTTACCATCTCAAAAAAGCACCAACTTTCATACTTAAAGGGGAAAAGAGAACATAAACATAACTTCAAAGAAAACACAATATACCTTTCACAGCAAGTATTGACAGTTCCGAGTCAATTCTGGGTAGATGAAAAGGAACATGAAAATAAATGAGGGAGGATCCATTCTCTCATTTTTCTTTTTTTCTTTTTTTTAGTAGAGACTCACTATGCTGCTGGAATCTGTTTGAACATGCATGAGAGACTTCTGCAGAGTTTCTATCTTATTTGATGTTTACAAGTGCATTCTTAAGCTCCTTTTTTGTCACAGGATAATCAAAACTCCTAATTGTGTTGGGTTGTTATAATTTGATCAGGTCAGTTCAATGATTTGAATGAATGGGTGTATTCAGGATACAGTAGTTTTATATTTTAGAGAAAGGGTTTGGAAGAATCTTTTAGTAGAAGTGAACAAGCTTTTGAATTCTTGCAATGGGTAATCTTCAGCTCTTTTCTCCGGTTAAAAAAAACACATTTATTTTACTCTCTGCATTTCAGGCCTAATCGTCATGCATCAACAGTTATTGTCTGTGAGCTTTGGCATTGTATCTTAGCAATGTCACCCAACTATTTTTTTTCTACTCTCATTTGAGAAGAAAAGACTGTTTTAATCAAAGTCATTCTCACATAGCAATTAGAACTAATTAGTCCAATTATCAAGATTCTAATTACATTGAAATATAACCCCTAAATCTCATATCAATTATAGTATGTGTGACTTGTCCTGATCTGGAGACACGGAAAGACACAGTGTGAAGACAAAGCTTTGTGGAGGGTACAAAAAGAGGAACATCCTCATCCTCCAGAGTAAAAACGATGGCAGATTCCACTTATCCCAGTAGCTTTTATTCCAACACATTAGGGCCAACAGGGGATAAATGTCACCTAACCTTTATTCAATTGCTTCTTATTCTGAACAATTTTGTCTCGGAATATGATGCAATGATTAGTTACATCCGTGTTTTTTTTTTGTGTCTCAGTTGGATTAGTAATGAATCAAAATTGAAGGAATTTTAGCATTGAGTGTTGTTGGTAGTTGGTAGATCAAGACTCCTCCTCCTACCAGAAGCTTTTGTTGCCTAAATAGCACTGACGTCTGGCTCTAAACTCGGAAATGCGCTCACACCTATGCCACAATGTGGCATGCAGTGTGCACAAACACACACTATTTTAGCGGAGGCCTGCGTAATACATTGCTTTTGTGGTTCACTGTGATACTCGAGGTGCACTGGCAGAATACACACACACTCACTCACTCACACACATACACACACACCCTCTTGTATAGACTGCTCTTGCTGTGGAGTCACAGGGAACACACTGACCTAATTTCCCCCAGTTAGCTCGCCTCGTTGGGGACCAGCGTTCCTCTCCACTTGTTTCCCCCAACTGAGCCTATCAGAGCGCTCCCCCAGCGTGTCTCTGTGTCTCTGTCATTCTGCGCTCTCCATCTGTTTGCGTTTGTATTCATTCCTCCAACATAAGATTAGCAGTTAAAGTGAGCAGTTATTTTGTTCGGAGCTTCTCCGGGGCTAATTGTGTACACACTCTTAACAAAACCGCACACTTCGTTGTCAGTAAGTTGCAGAGGAAGATGTCAGGGAGAAAAAAAACGAGGTCGGCCAGCAGTAACACACAGAGAAAGAGAGAAGATCACCTGAAATAACAACTAGTTCCGGGACTGTCAATCTACAGAAACACTTGCTGCTCCAAATCACTACTCAGTGCAGGGGGTCAATCAATTCTGATGTAACGCTGGTTGGAGAGGTGGGTGGACGTGGCATTCCCGGTCACCCCTGTGGTCATCCCACTGCTTTTCCAGGGCTCGTTCTTGTGCTGTGGGTTGCAGGAAAGCATCTGCCCGTGAGCACGTAAAAAAAAAGTACGTGCGTGCATGTGTGAACGAGAGGCCCCCTGGCTAACTTCAGCCTCGGGTGCGCAGATCAGGGGTTTTTCTAGCAGCCAGACGCGACCTGGGTCACCTCAGATCTCACAGAAAAACACACACAGAATCACTGCGCCCCTCGCTTTATGGAAAGCAGAGCTGTCAGCTCCCCGACGTGGTGGTACCGCGGCACGATTGGTCGATCCGCAGTGATGTGGGTGTCGATCGGATCGAGGGAGCCCATCCCATTGGTGGTCTGGGTCAAATGAATGCGTTTTTCCGCTCACACGTAGGACAGAGGGGGAGGTGTCAGATAGGAAAAGTGACAGGAATTATACATGAGAGCATGTCATTGATTAACTTTGATTTGTATACGAGGATATGAATGTGTGTGTGAGGAAAAAATAGAAGTAAGACTCACTCTTTTTATGATAATCTGTGATTATTTGTACTTAAATTATATCAACATTGTATTGAGTAAAGCCAATAAACAACATGGGTTCTAAAGACGGTGAATGCACTATAGCACAAACACTTGTGCAACTGAATCTGAACTTTGGGGAAAACATCAACTGGCAGTTTTGATTATGTTCATCTACAGAGAAATTGATGCACAATATAGCGTTACCCTTGCTTTCTCGCTAGCCTGTTGCCCATTCTTTCCCAGCTGTGCAAATCCAAATTTTTATTGAAGACAGCGATGTCACTGGTAACTGTCTATGTGCTTTCTAGTCACCAGACATTTCAGAGGATGACCAAATGCCACAAATCATTTCTATCCATCTATATACCGTTAATAACGTGAGAGAGCAACAGGGCTATAGCGTGATGTTTTGTGTAGAACAGCATCTTTGTGACAGCTTTAGTGACATTAGGGGTGCATATTTAACGGATAACCACAAATCATTATCCAGCTTTAAAAATTAGTAAGTGACAGTGAAAAAAGAGATCAATTAAAAAAAAAAAATACTGCAGAAAATGTTGAGCATAATGAATGTGCAGAGTCAATAGATTGTCATCTCCATCCGGGTCCTTATAAGCACTTTCATGTTCAAATGAACAGGATGAAACTTCTGCATTGTCATAAAAATGGGGACATGTAACAGGATGCCAAATGTCCACACCACCATGCAGTAAAAGTTTTACGCTGACATCATCACTCGGTGAGACATGTGCAGTTTAATCATTAAATGCTGTTTAAAGCCTGGTTGTGAAGCTACAACATTTTTGCTCCACAGACTAACGCGTCTATTACACAACCTTTCCTGAGATTTGGTTTAAACGGGATATTTCTGGAAAGAACTGTTAATATCTTGTTAACAAGATCATCAACAGACTCCCTGTCCACCCTGGCCTTACTTACCACATCCTGGCATGGACAATGTTTTCACTCCTGCTGGTTTCTTGTGATCTTTGTCCATCTCTCCACGCCTACCGCGTACACATACATTGGTTCTCCGCAACCCGTAATTATTTCCTTTCTCCCCTCGCTCTCCCTCTTGTTAATTTTGTCTTTATCTCACTTTCTCTGCCTCTAATTTTCCTCCGTCTTTCTGTCTCCATCCTGTCACTATCTCTCTGGTGACAATGTCCTGCAGTTATGAGGCAAGGTCAGAGAAGTGAAATCCATTTAAATACTGATGCAGCTCTCTGGAGGATTATGCTCAGCCTCCACAGCACCCCTCCCCGGTACGCATCGCCCAAATTGACGAACGAACAAGTAGATCACTTTAGAACACTCATTATTTGTCCCACTTTAGTCATTCGTGGTATTACACATCTACTGGCATCATGGTTGGTGATGCTAAAACAAACTAAAAAAAAAAGGTTTATAGAAACGAAAACAACCTGTTCTTCATTTTTAGGAACCGTGTTGGTAATTGTGGTAGCTGTTCGTGTAATGAGTGCTTGGGAAGTCCCTGTGTGTTTGTTGATTCCAGGTGCATCTGCATTTGAGATGTTTCCACCCTCGTTTATGGCGCACCATGGGACCTGCCATTTCCATGGTTTAATTCCCTCGCATGCTAAGTCAGGAGCTCAATAAAAAAGCCACATGTTGCTCGACAACGAAACATCTACCTTGTGTATGGAAATAAACTATTCCAAGGCGTGAGAGGAAGCCAAAACATGTTTGTGGGAGGAGTCACAACTCATAGCATCTACCCATCACTGGCCTTTTCCCCATACCCTCAAACTGCCATGTACATTCAATTAGCCGCCTGCTGCTTAGCTCTTAAACGTTTTTTCTTTTCTCTGCTCCTGAATATGTTCTGTTGCATATCAATCAGATCTATATTTTCACAACACGCCAAACACATTATTGTTCTGGGCTTCTGTCCTTTTCAGTTAAACATGTAAAAACATGAGAAATTACATTCATGCCTATTGCTAAAATCCACATCCCATAAATGACAAATCTTGGTCCAATAACACTTAATTAGAGTAACAAATAAATGTTTTTTCTTGATCTTGTGAAGACAAAATACATTGCACGCAATGCATTTTGCAGTCAGGCTTAAACAGAAGGTGTAGCTTTTGTTTCTGAGTCGCAGACTAACATACGCACTATTGTTATGATTTTAACCTTAATTAATGTTTCAGTCATGATTCATAACGGAACTGACTGTGTAACCGACACCGGGCAGTTGACAGATTCTCATCAAAATGAATTATCGGCATTCTTAAAAAAAATCTAATGTAACCAAAGTTATGTTATCATCTGAACTTATCTACCGACGGTTAAGACAACTATGCTTCCACTTGCGCATTTGAGCTGCTAAGAAAACAATCCTATTATCAGTCAATCTTTTAAGTCTATTTCCACGCTGTATTTTTTTCATTTCTTCACTTTCTCTATATCCCCGAGAGCGCACAATTTGTCGCTTCTGTGGGAAGAGATGGGTGGTTTTAGTGTATTTATTAATAATGCTGGCGGCCTAAATATAAAAAAAGGGACAGAAAATATCTTAATCCTCTAAATAAAGGGATAAGTTGAATACTTTAAGTGGTCTGACACTTAAGGGTTTAGGCCTATGCAGAGTGGATCTTACCTTCACCCACCCGAAAGCTGTCTTATCATAATTGTGTTATTTGGAATAGAACACTCTACTGTACCTCTTCCTCTCCCCACCCTTCCATCACTCATTACCAATCCCATCTTAAAGGTTTGATACTTGTCTGCACTTGCCGTCGACTTATTGCTATTTTTAAAAGCAGAGCTCCCTTTTGTAGTCGTGCCACAGAACTTTAAGGGACGCCGCCTGCAAAATAAAAGCAGTCCAGAGGATGGTTTTTACCACAATATGTGACGGTTGACAGATACACGCTAGTTGAATCACATTTAGAGGCCTTGACACATTCTGGAAAAGCTGTAAAAAAAGGATGACGAGTCCTTTCACACTCTGCTTTGAAGACATGGGAAGGAACAACAAACACATATCAAAACAACAAGGGAACAGCTTCTGGTCTCACTTTTCAACTACAATTAAAAGTAGTATTATGTGCCGGTTCACGCGTGATGAAACGGTTAGCTTCATCACTGGGCCGCTGTGCCACATGCTATCAGCCGTTTCGGGGGACAAGCTGTGATATTGGAATGAAAAAATCCCACACACCTCCACCCCCTTCTCCTCTTCGTTTTCGGTTTTGTACGTTAGTAATTGCACTTGCCATAATGAAATCAATTCAGCGGAGCTAACAGATTTCACATCTTGTTACCAACTTCCTCTGGAGGAGGCCAACGGATGAAGGCATCTAAAAATATTCCTTCTTTCATGCATCATCAATATCTTCATTACGTGAAAGATGGACGTCAGGTTGTATTTGCCGTTTCCTTCCGATGCCGGTTGACAGGGTAGCATCTTGCCCGTGTCTGTGACACGCTGCCTTTTGTGCCGGCTGCTACTTTTCCGCAGTTCCGCGTTCGCAGACATGCTGAAAGCTGTTTTTTGCGCCATGCACGTCGTGAATCGGCCTACGATAATGCTCGGAACAGAATGGAAGTGTCCTCGTCAAAATCATAAAAGAGAAGAGAGGGAGATGCATTTGTACCTACATTATCCCCCTTTTAAGTAGGAATTGTGTGTCAAATTGTTGTGTAAAAACTCGCTTGACACCGAGTTTGCATATTTTTTCCGGATCCTGCCCATGCAGAAAAAAAAACGTTTTGATTGCATTTAATGTTAGTTTTCAGGAACAGTAGGAGATATTCAATAGTTTGACTATCAAATAGCTAAGCTAAGTTATAACAGGCTGTCATGACAAATGTTTATCTTCCGTGCTTGAGTTTATGTCAGCCAAGATATGAATATTTATCAGCCCTAGCTGCTGACTAAGTATTTTCTGAATGAATCCCGACTTCTGCTACACTGACTGTACATTACACCGCTGTATGCTCTGAGGAACTTCAACTTCAAGCAATTTAACTCTTTGGAAAGCATGCTCACCTCGCAAGAAACAGCAAATATTATGCCTACTCTATTCTACATAACACCTCTGTGCATTTGTATTTGACACACAGTATGAAAAGGGAACAAAATGTAACACTTCATTGTGATGCAAGTTTAGCCTAATTATTTGGTAACGGGGGGTTGGGGGAGCCATGCAATTGATTCTATTTTTTTGTCTTTAGGCCGTGTACCATTGTCCCTAGATACACACTACAAAGTGAATTCCAACTGTGTTCTGAGACACGGTGGTGGGGCGCAGGGATGTCCACAGGCACAGGCCTTAGGTCACATTCTGTGATGCGAACCATAACTGCACAATACTGTAAACACCCCTCTTCTTCTCTTGTTCTAATTAGTGTCAGCTAGGTTATAGGGGTCAGCCATATCTGCCTGTGTCGGCATCGCAGTGTCTAAACAGTTGGGGCCTAGACACGTACATTTGCTAAACACATAAAGCTGCTACATATTGTGGCCTTCTTTCCTTTCCTTTCCTTTCCTTTCCTTTCCTTTCCTTTCCATTCCTTTCCTTTCCTTTCCTTTCCCTTGCTTCTAACTGCTCCATATGTGCCCTCAGTATGAAAGGGAATAGTTGAGCAGGCCTGACAAAGGGCGGCACAGAGGAGGCAGAGGTGCTGAGGGAAGCTGAGTACTGCTGGAAGGGATTTTTATCTGTGTGCGTATCTGTGTGTGTGTGTGTGCGTATGTGTGTGTAAGTGTGAGAAGGAGAGAGGTAATGAATGGCTGTGTACATGTATGAATTTGAATATTATATTCCACAACTTGAATGCGTCTGGTAAACGGGGAAAACAAAAGCACAATTGAATATTTGAAGCATGACAAAGATGAGGAAGTATTTGCAATGTTGTTCAAAAAAATTAACTGAAAAATACAGCTGCCTCACTTTCTCCTGTAAAAACAAGCATGACAACACTTCAATCATATTTACAGATGTCACCAATTAAGAACTTCTTTTCTTTAAAAAATCCAAGTTATAAATGTGAATTAAAAGCAATTGCACCGATATCAAGAAATGTAATACTGTATGTTATCTATTTAAATAACTGAGTGAATGTATTAGTTTATTTTTTTTAAGCGATGGTGTGCATGATTCCTCTCTGTGTGAAAATAGGTCAGCACTAGCTAGTCCTGGTTCCTGTGCTCCGCGGCTGTCTGACCGAGCGCGTCTGGCCCTCTGCATGCTGCCGTCCGAAGTGGGGCTGCCGTTGCCGCGGCAACAACAACAACAACAACTGGGCCGTGGCTGGCGCGGCTCCGTTCGTCAGCTCGGCCTCATTATGCTGCTGCTGGCTTTGATGTGGTTTGTGAGGCTTTACCTGCATTACTGCAGCCAGTGGCTCTACCTCCAGGCCATAGCAGTTCCTGTCAACAAGTGAGTTTGCCTCCTTTGATATAGGCCTGACACAACACACACACGTACACACACACACACACAGTCAGATACACAAGTACAGAAGAGGAGCATTTTGATACAGACACATATTGCTGTGTGAGCACACACGGTGCTGCTGAAATCCATTAACAAAATGGAAGGCAGATATAGTATATACAGTGGATTAGTGTGTAGCACGTCGGCAAATTGCAAATTCCCTGTCACACACAGCAAGACTTGCATGTAAGATCTGCAACACGAAAAAGTGTGATCTGCAACACGCAAAGCATGATCATTTCAAAATAGGATGCAGAGTGGATAATGAGCAGAGGAGAAAATAAAATGTGCCGTGTCTGAGTGTGTACGTGTGTGTGTGTGTGTGTTGGCAAACACGCTGGCTGGATACACCCAAATCATCTGTTTGGAATCCCCCCATTAACATTTTAACAAGACTCTCTCAATATTAACAAACCATAGCTGGGGGAGTTTGCTCACCACACAGCTTTAAGTCCCAAATGGCTACATTATTTGGAAGGAATTTATTGTTATTATTTGGTACACAGCATTGATAATAAACAGCAATAAGACACCACAGAACTGTTAAATCACAATGCAATAGCATATGGTGCTGATTTATTTAATCACAATAAAAAAAAGGCTGGCTGCAAACAGGCATAGAAGAAGGTTTTTATTACCATAACATGGGGGTGCAAACATCATGCATTAAATCATGGAAAGTGATTGGGGTAAGCAGAGGAAGAAAAACTGTGGACAAATGAAAAAAAAATGGACTGAGGGGGCAGATAGGAAGGGGAAAAAAAAAAAGAAAAAGCAGATGGGGTCAATGTCGGATGACAACTTCCACATGTCCGAATCTGCCGCTCTCCCTCCAAGCATTTCTCTCTCCATGCAGTGACCAGAGCTGTTGGTGCCCGATGAGAGGGAGGGAGAACGGATGACAGAGCGGTTAGCATTATGACAGCCAATCCTCCCTTCTCTCATTCCATCCATAACGTCTCCTTCTTTCTAATCTCTCTCTCGTTCTTGTGTTTGGTTCCTGATTACCTGTATTTCACCCCTGGCCAAAGGTGGACCGCACAATGTGGGTCATATTCTTGTCTACAGCATATCTTTCTTTCCTTTTTAAAGATTCATAGGAGGGAAAAGTTTGAAAAGAATCATACTATTTTGTGGTGGATTATTACAAATGTGCCCCTTCTGAACAGCACAAACCTACCATGATGAGGTCAGGTTTGGCTAATCCTCCTTACACTTAACTTCTGCCCTTCTGGGTATTTAAATTTGATTTATAACAGTGCATATTCATCCATCCATAAATCCATCCAGGATGCCGTTGGGCCAGAAGGGAGGGATATCCTAGACGGGTTGTCAATGGATAAGAGGCCCACACAGGGACAAATAACAGCCATGCACGCGAGTCCTGGTGTCTTTCTTCAGGACTTCGTTTTAAAAATGAAAGCATCTCGAGGCTTTGTCTAACTAAATTCAAAGAATGATAGTAGTTAAACATATTTTACAGGGATAAATTATCTCAAATAAGATTTGGGAAAACCATGGAAACCATTGAAATCATAAGTGTCAAACAGTTATCTTCCAGGTGTGATGTGCATTAGATCAATATGATGCAATATGTTCAAAAGGACAGAAAATAGCAAACAAACAAAAGACAAGTAAATGATTTATATACTAGGAACGATTCTAAAAATTATGAAAGCCGAGCTAGCCATTCACAATTTATTTAAGGTTAAAATGTATAAGACAAAAAGCACACAGACTCACCCAGCCACAGAACCTTAACCAAAACTCAACACAAAAAACTCAACTTTTTACATTCTGCACTTGAATGCTTTACGTGACAAAATAACAGTACATGATCAATTATTAAAGGAAAAAAGATTATGGCAAGCGTGGGATATTGCTGACAACATCAAAATGTGTCTGAACCCAGTTATTTATTTATCAAGGAGGAAGGTGCTCGTTCCATTCATTCCACTATATCAAGATAATTTTTCATTCTTAAAAATGATTTTGATCATTTAGAAACATACTAAATTCAATATAGCAAAATACACCAAAAGTGTTCTTTCTGCTTGTCGTCCAGAGAAAAGATCTATCTACTCTAAAATGACTTTTCAATGCTTGGGTCTGTGGGCAGATTTGCTTCAACTGAAGCAACAATAGACTTCAACTGTCAGATTAATGGACGGAATCTAAGAGATGCTTGACTCTTGGAGCAAATCAGATGGAAATTAATGAGAAAAACTGGACCTCTCTTCTCCCACCGCTTGCTCTACCTCCTCCTGACTGATGGGAAGATTAAGAAACTCATGAGGCTTGCTGTAAATGGGGAGTCTGAGTTCCAGCAGGGTGTTTGGGGAAAATCTCCGAATTTTATCAGCAAACGTGCCCGTTAACTCGGGTACCTTTCTGCTGCATTTTGAATTCAATTTGATATGAGGAAAAAAATATCGAGTCAATTACCGTCGTCTTTTTTTTAAAACAGAAAGTGACCTGTGAGGCAAAACAACAACTAATTAGAATGATAATTCTCATCAGGCTAATTGAATATGATTGAATCAACCTCAAATATTGCAACACACAATGCGCAAATGGCTGGGAACTATGTTGCCCCTGAGCGGCAAGGCATCACAAACCGCAAATATGGTACATGCGTATTGACACTTTTCCTTTTTTCTCTCCAGATTCCGCTTCCACGCTCACACGGTGGACCTCGTGTACCAGAGCTCTCTGCTCCACACCCGGGAGGAGCTGGCGATGGTGGTCGTGGGTCCCCTGACCTTGAACGCAGCAACGTTCCTGCTGGTTCTGATCAGATGGGGCTGTCAAGTGATGTTTGGCTCACTCCCTTCCTTCACGTCAAAGTTTATCATGGCTCAGGGAGTGTGGACAGTCCTCGACCCCCTGGCGGTCTTTGCTGTAGATGCCGTCCTCGGGGTAAGTCGCTTAAAAATAACTCGTACATTCATGCACTTTAAAATAGGAGTTCACTCTGGCTTGGCAAAGTGACTTTAGATTACCGGAAAAGGGCGGGCGTGTTTGTAGGATGTGAAGTGGGTTTTCTGCTCTGATAGGAGTGCTAAATTTTGGTCAGGAGGACTGAATTGACTTGGGATATTCTCAACAGTGCTTACAGATAGAGCTAGAGATAATAGAGCTGAAGGTAAACTTTTTCACATCAAAGAGGGCTTTTTATTTTTTAGTGGCCAGTAGTTAGCAAAAAAAAAACATACAATCCATTCCTAAGTGTAGAAGTTTCCAGTTTATAGTGGATAGTCACCATCATCTTTTCTGAAACGCCTTTACTCTGCATGTCTAAGGTTTATATTTCACCAACCAATCCAGTCTGTCTGTTGTATCAATCAATACCTCTCCAGCGTCTCACCTACAGCCCAGATGTGCCGGTGGCGGACGCAGCAAAGCTCTACTGGCACTTTTATCGGGCCAACCAATCAGGGGCAGCGGGCGCGGTCATCACCGTGTTCCTCTATGCAGTCCACTTCCTGCTTTCCATCACAATTCTCTCCATTTACCTGTTCAGGTGAGCAAATCCAATTGGCTCAAACTAGCCAATCTCAAAATGTCAACCCCATAGTTTTCCCTTGTTTATATTATGTTGTTACACCAAATTAAAACTTAAATGTCTTATGATATATCACGAATAAGCATTCACCCTTTTACCCGGGCTAAGTATCTAGCATGGCCAGGATAACTAAAGATTTAATATTCAAATGCACATATGGGAGGAACTCATATGTTCCTATTAAACATATTTAGTTATTAAATGCATTATGTGCATGTCTTATGATTGTTGAGGACAAAAATGGAAAAGAAGACAGCTTTGAGGACCCTGCTGCCTTGCATTTTGTTCTAAATAGATTTTATTTTAACACGTTCAATGAATTACATAAGGTTTGCTGCTCAGTGAGGTGGAAGCCCCAAACAGCCTTTTGCTGCTCGTCGATTCTGTGGTTCCGACCGAAAAGATGGCGGTTGATTTTCATCAAAAGTTAAAGGGCATCTTTTTTTGCGGGATGAAACTAACAAAGTAGAGGTGATAATTTACTGGATAATGTAAGTCATTATTCATCCGAGATGTGTTCTCCCGTACTCATATAAGACAAAATTCCATTAACAGCTCAAAATGTAAGGAAAGCCTTATTGAATAAATCAGTTTGAGATTCGGGGGCCGCGGAGCGGGTGCCATCTAATTTCGGTAAGCGGGAAGCTTATCGGATCCAGCTAAATGGACAATATTAAAACAGCAGCCAAGAATAATGACTTCTGCCACTCAACCGCCACACGGGTTTGTACCGAATGTAGGCCACGAGGCTGAAGCAAGGCTGATAATTTTATGGGTTACCGTTTCCTATTGGCTGTAAGGAAGGGGCTCTGACACAGAGCATGACCTATATCTGAAGAAAAGGCCTCGGGCTATATTGTATAGATAGAATAGCCTGTTATCCCTCTTTTAATTACATTTTAGGCAGCCTTTATTCACTTCCTCAAAAAATACACGTTACACCTCCATTCTTCTGAAACTTCATAGAGATGATGAAGGGTGAAGTCACACCGGAAAAAGGCCTAATCTATAACACACTGAAGAGTTGACGTGTCAGATTAAGGATATTTTATTTTATTAACATGTGTACATGTCAAACATGGCGAATTAATACCAGTTAATGAAGTAATAGTTCTTTATTCTAACTTGTCCTGCGTATCCTGCTTTTTTTCTGTTGGAATGTTATTCGTGCGTCGACATATGTTTGTTCCTTCCGTGACCTCTCCAGTTTCAAAGTTCAGATATGAGCTTTATCATCCGGGTCGTGCCCCACGTAGAAGAACATCAGCGTGCAGTTGAAAGCCTCTCCACATATTCCACCACGGAGGAAATTAGCCCGCTCTGAAGCACAAAGATGCTAAGACGATCCGTTCTTTCTAAGGGTGTGACTGCATAAATGAATGAGAAGCAAAAAATCCAAGTGTGGGATGAAAATCACTGCATGCCATTCCTGTGTGCGAGGTCAAGATTCTACAAACATTCCTCTCCCGAGAGGGGTGGGGAATAATGCCGAGTTCAAAGCTCTGTACCAGCTTCTTGTACAAATCCTTGTCTACTTGATGTCGGTTTATTTGAGAGCTGATTACCCTCTGACAGTCTAGAATCTCTATGGAAGGGCACAAGGTCTTCCGGTTTTGATGGTCAGCCAAAGCATTTGTTTTCGAGACATGGTGTTTTTGTTTTTTGAAGGGGGGTTGGCTGCATGCAACCCCTTGTGTGGCGAATGGAAAAAAAAAAGAAAAGAAACAACACTTTGGTGATGTGCACTTATCTTGAGGTGCGAATCGATAATCCCTTTGCTGTGCGGAACATTTCCTTGTGACTCAAACTACGCGATCCAGACATATGCATGTCTGTTGCATCTGGGATGTTTGAAGCCGGGCATTAACACCCGAAAGAGCGGGATCAGACTCCCACACGTTAACAGATGTATGACCACGCAAACGCCCCTCGCCGAACATGGACGTCGGCTCCTGTCGGCCTCTGCTAACAAAGTGCTTCCCACTCATGGGCCAATTTGTTTGATTCCTTTTGCCGTTTCAATTCACGTAGAAGACTTTACAGTGCATCACCCGGCAAATATGCTCTTTGTAATCAATGGGTGTTTTCACCTTTTCCAGCGAACTGAGATCATTGTTGTTTGACACGTTTCATAAGAAACAGTATTGAGCAACACATTTAATTTATGCTTAGCCATTATATTACTTGTGTTAGAAATCAAATGTGGTTTTGACAAGTCAGAAGCAGCAATTTGGTGACACATCCCTCTAACGCTTCCTCTCACTTTTGCTCTTATTGCACGCCTCCCAGATTCCACAACGACGGTCGCATGTTGGACATATTCCAGCGACTCACAGCCAGGGAGGGACTGTACTTCCTCCCTGAAGACCTGGAGTTGTCCAACCAGGAGCTGAACTATATCGTCAAGAAGGCGGAACAGTGGCGAGGCTTCAGTGGAGAGAGGCGTAAGGTAAAAACATCACCAGGAAGCAGTCCATCCCTGGATCCCAACCATTTTGGTTGGACAGATTGAACAAAAAAGTCTGATCGATTAATCTGTGTGGACGGGGGTCTCTGGGAAGGTTTCTGAATGACATAACTGGCTGGAGTTGGATGTGTTGAGCCTGAAACAAACATTTACTATCAGTACTTAGAAGCTATAACATTCACTGGCCCTCTTAAGGAGACATTACATGCACAATGATCTATAGATTAGGCTCATTTTATAGAATAAAACTTTCTTTAGTTACATTTGAGAAAGCGGAGACATTCATCTCAGAGGTCTTTAACTTCATCCTAATTAGTAAAAGATAATTACCAAAACAGAGACTTGATGAGGCTGCCTGATTAGTCTGTGAAAACCAATTGCAGAAGATCCTTCATTCAGAGACTGCTCAATCAGCGCAGGTGGAATGCAAGCTTACCTTAGAGCGGGCATTCTCAGGACGTGGATATTTTCATATCAGTCGGCACAATTTGTTGACTGTATGAAAATACCATTTCAGAGAGATGCTACCACATGTTTGATTGACTGATCAATCAAAGGGACTGCACATTTTCTGCTGGGATTTCTACTGAGGATTTGTAAAGTTCCAGGAGACAGCTGAGACTAAACTTTAAAGAGGCTAAAAGATGGTGGGAAATATTCTCAGAAAGTCAGCTTCAAAATGTGAACGAATGAATAATTGGAATGTGATATCCCTGTCAACACTAAATGTACTCTTCAAAAAAGTGAATGGAGGGATCTTTCCAAACCCAATTTAACCCTTGAGGAAAATTCTCAAGTATTTTTTATGCTTGTAGGGGAACAGCTTAAACTTTCTGTTCAATCTTGGAATTGTTAAACTGAAAAGCACACAAAATACTAAAAAAACATATTTATCTTCAGTGCACTTTAAAACGTGCCATACATCCTGTAAAATAAAGTAGTTTGATGGCTTGAGCTACCTGTTTTACCTCCTAAATTCTTTTAATTTCAAACTGTACTAAACTTTAATAAAACTGGGGCCCTACCTTCCAGAATGTGAATATAATATTGCAAATGCAATGTGAAAGGACGTGTTTGCTGAAACTCGAACCTCAGAACGTTTTAAAACTTGAAATCTAAAAAAAAAGAAAAAGAAAAGAAACAATAAAAAAGGCAAATGCAAAAACAAACATATAAGCAAATACTTAAAGAATCGATTAATAAAATAATAAGTCCATAACTAAGGACGTGTCTCATTAAGCAGCTGATATGGTGCATTTCCGAATCATCCTTGCATTACTGCATATCTTTCTTCACAGCAACAATTACAGCATACTTCATACTGTACCTAATTTGGTTTTATTACGCTGATAAAATGCAAACCCGTTAACACATTCTGTGGCATGATGAAAATTTAGGGTTATTGCATTTTAACATTTTTACATTATTCAGCGAGACAATTTTTCATCAAAATAAGATGGGCCTGGCCATTATTTTATAATTATTGTAACGATTTCTCCTATGAAAAGGGTCACTTTCCTAACTCAGCAAAGACATATCCCTATTAGACTAATTTGCCTACATGCAAATTCTTGTCATTTTTCCCTCATTAACTATTTATCATAGATGAGAGGGAAAAAAATATATTCATGAAGGCTAGCAAAGGAGCAGAGCGACAGAGCTGAAACTAATATTTTGCAACTCTAATGATTTTTTGCATCCTTAATTAGATAGAATAAGGTTGATATGATTAGGTCAGGATGTAGTGTTTTTCATTAAAAATACATTTTAGAAACTGTAGTCCAAATGTGCCCTTGCAATTAAATAATGAATCTGACGCGATTCTTATTACGCACCCAATTAATATCAGATGTAAGGGCGCAATTTTAATAACAGTGGGGCCTTCATTAGCAGACTGAGAGACAAGGTAGGCTGAGGAGAAGCAAAACAATGTTCTCACAGGAACAGCTGCAGTCTGCAGCCAATTTTAAGAAGTTATTGAACGACTCGTTCTTAAAGGACGGAGTATGACATTTTCAACAAATAAGATCTCGGGCAAACAGGATGTCTCGTTTGTTTAAGTCTAATTTGATGTCACATAGTGCAATAAAAATAGAGAATATTTTTGATGGTCAAATGTAAAACTCTTTTTATGAAGTCAGAGCTGCATTCATTCGCAGGCGTCATAGTGTTTGCTTGATCAGTCAGAAAATCTGTCCATCTGCTCATCGTCCTCCGCTTATCTGAAATCAGGTCACCGGGGCAACAGGTTGGGGATAGAAACCTGGTGACGCTCAGCGGCTCCTTGGATATCCCAAGGTGTTCCCAGGCCTGAAGCCATATATAATCCAGCAAGTCAGAAAACCCCTAATACAGATAAGTTGGAAATCTGTCAGACAGATTTAGATACCTTTTGCATGTACATGGGTTTTTTGTCCGTCCTACCTCTCCACACTAATCCCCCCCCATCAGTTCCACTGTAATAGGAAAATTGAAGACAAGTTATAGGATCATTCTAGTTGTGATGAACATCAACAAGGGAACACACTGATTGATGAACCTACAGCTTCTGTCATTGCATCAGAACCTTACCCTTAGTGGATGGTGCACGATATTATTGTTTTGTTTGTTTGTTTGTTTGTTTGTTTGTTTTCTTCTTTCAACGACATACCTGTGAAGGTTTGTGATGCTGTCTTGTTCTGCTACACTGTTATGTTGAACAAATCTGTCCTCAGAGAGACAGACATAAAAGCCCCTGCCAAAGTTATCAAAACTTCATTTTTGGTTATTCTTCCTTGAGTTGGCATCTCAAGGGCTCCATTTTGTCGTATTAGGAAACTTGAAACACACACACGCACACACACACAGATAAACATTCAGGTACCCACACACTTGTAGAGATAAAGCAGAGATAGACACATTATCTGGTTAAGTGTTTGGTTCTATGCAGAGGGTCACTACAAGTATTTGCATTTTTGTTTACATTACCAGCCTTTACTTAACTTACTTGTTCTCTTTGAATTCCACCATTGGAGAGCGGGGAACTCCAAAACCGGATGTTTCCCTGCTTCGGCAAACCTGATTTCTTAATAAATATATCTATTCAAAAGATTAAGTTCTGCACAAGAGTGCCATTGGTATGACAGACTGTCTAAAATGTGGAGGAAAAATACATAGACTGCTGATGTTTGAATTGGCAAACAGACTATGTTTCAGTATGGAATGCTGGACAGAAGAAAAGCAGTTGTGAATTACAGTCATTATATTTTGAACGTCTCCATCCATTGCATCACATCAAAAGGGCCATACTTAAAACCATACAACTCATTTTCTTGGTAAGGACGTAATGCAGGCCTTTATTGGGGTAAGTAAAACAATGCAGGAGGTGATAGCAATTAGTCAGATCATAACTAGCTTTGTGTATATGCAGCATGAGTTAAAAAAAAGGCTGCAAAATGCGCTCCCACTCCCTCCAGCAGTGAAATAATAAAATGAATGAATCCACATTCAATAACCAACCTGCAAATGGCCTGTTATTATCAAACTTGTAATTTTCTGAAGGCAGTCATAAAACATAATCTAGTTTTTACTTTCTCACCAATTAACTTTATATCATATATTCCTTCATGCCATATGATCATTTAGGTTGCTCTGAGGTTTAAACAGCACTTACAGGTTTAGAGCTCGGCAGCAGAGTTTACAAAGTCAGAAAAAAGGATGAACAAACCGAAGACCACTCTACCAGTGTGCTTCTAACTGTCTTTGCGGTGGAGAAGTCCATAAATGTAGTTTCCCGTTTCCCTGTATATGAAAAGCATGATAAAAAAAAACATTAGCGTTATTCTATTCAGTTTTCACCTGTAATTATGTTTAAACTCACAGTGTGAGTCAGTTCAATCAGTTTACTCAACTAAAAACGATTTATTTTACGCTGATAAAAGAAAAAGTCTCACTGGGAAAGTAAAGACTAAAAAAAGTCCTCACTTTCCCAGTGACTTTAAAACTACACTTGCTCTGAGCTAGTAAGTGGGCTAGCATGCTTCACATCATACAAGCGGTTCAGTAATGAGCCCCATTAATTATGTAAAGGCAGTGATGCAGATGGACCTAATTAATTGTCTCCTGTCACCCCGTTGATTACTGTACCTGGAAGGGAGGTGTTCATTTCTGTAATACTTAAGCAGGTACGCAAACTGTTTTGTTGGAGCCACCGCTATGACAATGACGGAGTACGGTGCCAGCTCACGATCTCTGTTAATTCACCAAAAGGAAAGTTTCCCAGTGGCGCTGGTGACATTCTGATAATTGAAGGGGAGAGGGAGAGATTAAGAGAAGAGAGGGGGTAGAAAAAAAAAGGAGAGAGGGGAGATGGGGGTTTGTGTGTGTGGTGGCCCTGGAGATGTTTTCTCAACCTGATTGCATCAACATTTGCGTTCGTTTGCGCCGTTTGTCACTTTATGTCTAGGTAATGGCTCACCGGCGGGCGAGTTTGGGAACACCCAAGGTGCTTTGCAACTGCAGCGTGGTTGGTGGGGAGTGAACCTGTTGAGAGTGGAACAGCACAGATTGGAGTGGTAATGACAACCTGCATCTGGGAGAGCGGCTGTTAATCATAAATGTTGTTGGAAAGACTGTGTGTGTCTCGTGAGCTACTGGTCTTAAAGACGAACCGGGGAATATTCTGTGAATTACCAAAAGACAAGGAAAAGGTTTCCACATGAATTAGAATTAATGTCATTGCGGAAGTTAACTGAGAAAAACTTTTGCCTCTCACACGGAATAAGATGGGTTTTGAACACAAATGTGTCATGTGCTCCAACAGCAAACCAAACTGCCCTATCCTTCCTCCACAATTACTTTAATTTGACCTGCATCCCGTTAAAACAAGGGACTCCCGTCACAAAACATGCACTTTTTAAAGTCCACAACCGGTCATTTCAGTGGAAAAATTCAAAACAGCCACGTGAATTGCACTAACTTTATCGGTCTCGCGTTGTGAGAGA